TTTTGTAAGTGTAATGAAGTGTGTGTGTACTTTCAAATATTTTAAAGGAATGTCTAGCTTCTTATATGTGGAAGTATATATGTGAATGATGCAACACTCAAGTTCTTAAGATTGTGATGTATAAAGCAAAACTATACGTGGAAGTATATATGTGAATGTCGTTCAGTCTTGTAAGAGGGATCTTCCTTGATTGCTTACTTTTAATCTTTATTCATATTTATCAATTCTGCTTATGGTTGGATATTGTATGAAATATTCACAAGTCCGTTATCAAAATAAATACTCAACAAAAGGGGAAATAGTCTTATGACTAAACAAAAAAAAAATATTACCAATTTGAAGGACCTCCACTGCAAAATTTCAAACTAATCTAAGTGAAGTAAAACTATTTACAAGCTTCAATGTTCACCAAATTGCAACTCTGACCAATTCAAGACGATTAACGTTTTGGCTTTGTTTCTTGTTAGTTTTAACTACAAGGATCTCTCTCTCTCTCTCACATTCTTCATGAATATATATATATATATATATATATATATATATATATATATATATATGAAACAAAACAAAGTTAAATGGAATGCAAGCCAAAAGAAAAAGATAAATGGAGTGCAAAGATCTACTCTCATTGAAAGATTATTACAAAGTTAGATTTGTAATTTGGTTGCCATTAATCATGTTTATGCAGATTTATTCATTATTACAAAGTAGTTTGGTTGCCATTATACTTGTAAATTTAACAAAAAAAAAATTTCCCAACTCTAATGCAGATTTTTTTTTTCCATAAATTATTTCAAATCATAAAGAAAAATGGACTATTTTACATATAAACTTATAATTGTATTCATATATATAATTTTTCAAAACAAAACAAAACAGTCTTTACCAAACAGGTATTCTGTTATTGATTCAGAATTTTTAATAACAAAACACTATTCTCAAACGTGTTTTGTTTTTGGATTTCTTAAAACGCATGACAATACCAAACGCGTTATCATGTTTCTGATATACAATTATTAAAAACAAAACAATCGTTACCAAACATGGATCCGATTTCTACTAAAAACATACCAATACCAAAACAGTTGTTTTCATATCGTACCAAACCATAACATATAACGTTATCGCCATCCAAACGGACCCTAAATTCTTTCCACCATCAATTTAATCGATCCCTATAATTGCAAAAATAATATTTTACATACAAGAAGCACAAAAACATGTATGTATGTGTATAAACACATACTGAAGTTGAACAACTAGACACATATCAGATAACCCTGTTATTCGATGCTTGCAGAAAAAGTGGAGTTAGTGTGTAGTACTGGAACTCCAATGAAAGTAACAGAGTTACCTCCAAATTCTGCTGTTCTTCGAAACAGAGACGATGGAACAGTTTTAGGGATAGAAAAAGGGACAAAAATGTCCATAAAATTTGTTACTTAAGTGAACGGCCGGAGTGAGTTCGGGAAGCATGTTTTCTTAGCTTGTCCGGAACGGGCTTTTTTGGACTTTGGCGTTTATTTAAAGTCCTTTTTTCATGTTACACCAAACACTCCCAATTTTGGGGGATGGGCTTCTTGGGCTTGGAAGCCCGTTTCAAGGCCCCAGAAAGCTCCCCAAACATGGCCATAATAACGTTATCATTTTAACTTAATTGAACGTTGAAAGTATATGAAATAACTAAATTATCCTTATTATATTTTTTTTATTTAAAAAATTATATTTTTAAAATTACAATATTATCCTTTAGATAAATAGATAGCTACATAAGGGGAGAGAAAACCCAAAACATATATATAGAAAGAGAGAAGGGGTTAGAACTGAAAATTGAGAAGATCAGAGCAAAAACACCGACCGAATGAGATTGACAATATCTAGAACCACGACCACGCCAAAAATCAAAATAAAATCACAAACCCAGTTGAGATTAGAAAGAGATGGCTACAGAAGGAGAGAGAAACCCAAATATATATATACATATAGAGAGAGAAAGTGAGAGAAAAGGGATTACAGGGGAAAATTAAGAAGATCAGAACAAAGAAGACATACCCAATAAGATTGACTCCGAGATTAACCTTGAGCTGAAGGAAGAGGTCGTAGAGCTGTCCCAGATCAGCAGCATTGCCGTGGGAGTAGAGCAGAGTGAGGCGAGCATATGGGTTTCTCAGATAGAACGCAACGATCTTGTTGCCTCTCTTGGAGTAAAATGATAATGTTATTATATTGTTGAGGGTTTTTAAAACTGGTTGGGATTTTATGATCATTTTTTGAAAGTATTAGGAGTTTACAGAAATTTGCCCTATAAATTACAACTCATTTCATTTAATTTATATGAGATTCATAAAATTAACAGAAGTCAAAGGAAAAATATGCACGTATTTAGAATAACATTAGGGGTGGCAAATTACGACACGATACGATAACACGACACGAACCCGACACGAGTTAAAAGGGTTTGAGTTTGGCATAAACGGGTTTGGGTCATAAAAGGGTCGACACGATTAACTCGTTTACTTAACCGTTTGTGACTCATTTAAATCAACATGTTATAATCATGATTATGACTTATATAATATATTACCTGTTTAAACCCAATTATTATGGATAGTTAAGTCATATCAATATAAACCTTGTTTATGCCTTATGATTTTTCTTTTTATTTTGAATATTTGGATTAATTATAACAATTTATTTCTATTATTTAGTATTTGATTAAATATTAAATGTCTCATTTTAATAAACAGGTCATTAAACGGGGTAACACGTTTACCTGTTTAATAAACGGGTTGGGTTAGTGTTGAGATTTTTGACACGAGTATTAAATGGGTTGCCCTTACATCGACACGACACGAACACGACCCACGAACACGAATTGCCACCCCTAAATAACACCATAACGATTTCATAATTAATAGTTACCATCACAACTAAATTTTATATAGTGTAGGAACATATTTGTAACAAATATCACAGCTTATTTCATTCAAGGGGAAACCAAGTACGTGTCTCATCATAATGATTTCATAACTATCATCATAATTAAATTACATATAGAGTAAGAACACATTTCTAACATAAATCATAACTTATTTCAATATATATATATATATATATATATATATATATATATATGATATTCGTAAAATGAACCAAAGTTAAGGGAAAACCCAACATGGGTTTAAAATGACATCATAATGATTTCATAACTAATATCACAACTGAATTTCATATAGTGTAAAAACTCATTTCTAATATAAATCATAACTATTAAATATATATATGAGATTTATAAAATTAACCGAAGTTAAAAGGAAACCTAAAACATATTTAGAATAACATCAGAACGATTTTATAAGAGTAATCACAAATAAATTTTATATAGTCTAGAAATCAATTTCTTATATAAATCACAACTTATTTAATTCAATATTGAATTAAGCAGGCAAGTCGAGGCATGTTTTCTTTTTTCCAAGGAAGACGAGTTAGCTCATTTCTCTGAAAGATGAGGATAACAACTTTAAAGGGTTGGGACCTAACGTGCCTACTTACAAAGAGTTAGAAGCCCTTAAGGAGGCCTTTAGTAAATCTAGAGTCTTTCCTACCCCTAACACTTGATTCTTTCTTTGGTTTTGTCACTCAATGCATTTGCACTACTACCCCTAATAAACTTTTTATCTTGCTTGGTGCTCGATAAACTCGGAAAGCATGCCAGTAATTAGTCCTGTTCATTTAGTTTCTAAGGAATGCTATCTTCTCAAAGTCAAATCTTAAAAAGGATGGAGTCCCGGCAAACCCCTTTCTAAGTATGAGGATGGTAGTATAGAAGTGGGCAATAATTGCAGTTTTTTTATTTAAAATAAAGAAAATAAAAAAAAAAAGGTTTACAGTACTAACATGGGATGAGAAGGGACAAAGGAAAAGGGCATAATTAGGTACAACTATTTCATTTTATTAAGTAACTAATTCGAATTCTTTTCCACTTCTAACAATGGAACAATCTTTCATTAATAAAAGAAATTTGGTCACTTTATTTTCTTCCTCTCCTTTTGAAATAAAGGGAGAATTTAGACTTTTTATATTATTCTTGTATTATAAGGTTCATAAAGGATACATGTTACAATTAAATTATGATGTATCATATAATTGATATTTGAAACATGGTACTTTTAAGTTGTGATGTAATTCTAAAGATATGTTTGTTTAATATTATGTTTAATTGATGTTACGTATCTGACAAAAGTCATAAAAATAACAAGTGATACATGTTACGAGTAAGTTGGATGCCAGATATAATTCGCGTTTAAAAGATGTTACACTTAAGTTGTGTTGTAGTTCTCAAAATGTGTTTGTTTGTTGTTAGGTTTGATTCATGTTATGTACTTGAACCATTATGTATATTCATAATGTTACACTATGCCAATTTTTCTGTTATAATACACCCAAAAAGAAGAAATTGACAATAAAGATACTTTAGCACTTGGAGTTCAAAATCAACAATGATACCTCTTTTAGTTTATTTTTTGATCCTTGGTACGCCGAGTGTTCTTTGCACCAGAAATTTGGTTTAAAGAATCTTATTACTGGTTTCAATATTAATGCTACTGTTAATGCATTGTGGCAAAACTCTAGGTGGACTGTACCACCATCTTGGCCATCTGAAATACCACAGTTCTTAATAAGTTCAACACTCTTGAAGCTGATGATGAGATAGGCTGGGTTGTAAGTCAATTTAGCTTTAGAGCAGCATAAAAAATTTGTAGCTAACAAGGTATTGAGGCTCCATGGTATTCATCGGTTTGGAATGGCCGCAAGCCTAGGATATCCATTTTTGTTGTGTTGGTACTGCAGCAAGCAAATAAGTCATTGATACACCTTAAGAAGCAGTTTTATTTTCACAGCTATATGTCATAACTGTTACAAGGATGAATACTCAAATGACCATCTTTTCTGGTCTTGTCCATAAAACTTGACAATAAGAAACTCATAACACGACACCATGATAACTTAAAAGGTCACTAAGGAAGAATAATATAATTACACTTCAAGTTGTTGATTGAATAATAGTAGATTTAACATTCAATGTCTAATATTAATACAATAACAGTAATTGAGAAGGCTACATTACTAATTGTTTCAAAGAAACAAAATAAAATAGCTCAAAAAACAATTCACAGTGCTAACGACTCTGGACCAAGAAACTTTCACTCGGTATTTTGTCTAGAATTCCTAAAGAAGGTTCATCTTCCAAAGTTGTTTTTCCAGAAATGTCTCTTCTAAACTCAATGAACAACCAATTGTTCAGTTTCACTGTGTTCTTGAACCCAAATGACATTAAAATTAACCTTGGCGTACAAGATAATAGTCAATACCTTCTCTAATTATCTTTAGTCCCCTACAAACACAAACACGTTGTTAAATCAAATTAAGTGCACTTATAGGATGAAGTAAGAGTAATCATATTCATATAGATTTGTGAAAACGTTAACAGAAGATCAACACAAAATAAACAAACTTTAGCAATAAAAGGCTAGTAGGGTGTGCAATTTAACCACTCTACTTGAAAGATTTCTCATGCAGAGAAGTACTAATTTCCTCAAGTTGTTCCTGCTCCGAGAGAATCTTGGAGTGAACAAATTAACCTTGTATCATGAGCAAAAGCATCAACTTCCAAGTTTACAGGTCCCACAGAAAACTGTTTCCAATTGTTTTTACTCATTCTTAGTATAGATAAAATAGATATAGTTAGAGAGATATATTTTAGGTTTACTAATTTTCCAAGCTCCCAATACGTGCAAGCATACCAGGTATAAGTAATGAGTTGAGAAAAGAGAAACACTAAGAAAATAAATAAATAAAAGATATCCTTGCTCTTTATTGCATCTAGATTAGATAAAACCCACACATACAATACAAAAGACTACTACGAAATTCATTCCAATAATAACTCTAAACTTAAGAATATATATATTTTAAAATAAAAAAAAAAATTCAATAATGTCAATCCCAAAACTTTGAAATTGATTAGATTACAAAAGCAAAATCTCAAATTAAAGGGACCAAAGAAAAACAGCCATTACAAAGAAGGTCAAAATTTTCATTATACATAAAAATTAATATAAAACATCTAGAGAAAATAAAGAAACATGTAATTGCATTCAAATTATCAAGAAGTATATAAGGGTCTGTTTGGCTGCTAATAAAATTGTGAAACATGAAAATTTATTATCATGTCATTGAAGTTGAATCCCAATACCAAAGGGTATTAGACTAGATGTAGGAGAGATATTTAATGTAATCTTTGTGCAATTAAAATCCTAACTGGCATTTTTAATTACAATTTTTGTGTAGTTAAAATCTTTGGTTGCATGTTCATCGTCTTCTTTTTCCAAATCCTTATCTTCATCTTTTATACCTGCTTAAATCAATCTATCCAGACTTCTATACTATCAAGTGAATTTTCATTGAAGGAATTTGTAAAACTTAAGTAAAATTTCATATAGTCAAGGAATGAATATCTAAATATAAAATCAAAACCAAAGAAAAATTTTAACTTACAAGTCTGACCATATTTATATGACAAATATAAACCATGTTTCTCACATTATTTTAATAGGTGCAATCTTCTTTGTCATTTTATCAATCATTTCAAAAAAAAATTTATAACAATCATTTCTAATATCTTCCTTTCTTCTTCTATCTTCCATAGAAAACATAATCAGAAATAAGAAACACCACTGAAACATATTGAACAATTAGTCACAAATTTCAGACATTATCGAAAAATTCATCAGTCGTTCGTAGCCGATATACTCAAATCTATGTAGATGAGCCAGTTTGATAAATGGACACGACTCAAATATGTACTAATTTAGGCAAAACAGTGTAAAGATCAGATTCAAATTTGTACTAATTTCAGCTACCAATATGGAGGAGGGTAAAAGAAAAATAATAATAATACCCCAAGCGTAAAGTCAGCCTTGATCATCAACAGCCAAACAACGCCACCCACCAATAGTTGCCTGCAATTAAGAACCCACCAGTAAATTCCACTCGCAACAATAACACTTATTCTATGTTCTAATTCAAACTGATATATTGAAATTACCTGGACATGGGCTCTTTCTTTATTCTCTATTTTATTCTCGGAGATGTCCTAAAGTTCCTCTTTGGTTCCAACCCAAAGTAAAAAACTGATAAACACCCAATTGAAAAAAATAAAAATAAAAATCATCTAACTAACAACAAACAATTCTATCTAAAAATAATAATATAAAAGCTACAAATCAACCTAACAGTAATAAAGGGTTCTAAAAAGATTGCAAGAAGAAATAAAAAAAGAAAATTAACTGATATTTATTTAGATATATATATATATATATATATATATGTGTGAGTGATAGATATGAAAGGTAAAAAGGGGACCTTGCAATCTTCACAAACGGTGAGTGAATTGCGACTTCCGGTGACTACACAACGGACGTTTTGGGACTCAAGAGATTTCATTGTGCAAACCCATTCTTTCTCTTCGTTGTTGCCGATTCCCAACTGTCCGTCTTCTGTAGAGCCCCTGAAAAAAACCAAATCAAAACCCTAAAAAACTCAATCTTTCACTCAACAAAAAAGAAGAATAAGATGAATCGAAGAAGATGCTTGTCTTGGCTATTCTTATTTGTGTGTAGTACAAAACCTTAAATCAAATTTCATGGTTAGGAGGAGAGAGAGCTTTTTCTCTTCTGTCCGGAAGAGAATTTGAAAGAAAATGTTTCCAGAGAGTTTGGGAGTTTCAAATGGGAAGTGAAAATTTGAGAACAGCTGGCACTAACTAATGAATAAAATAATTATATATAATATATACATACTCTGTATAAAGAAGTTGTATAAAGTAAATATATATACACTGAAAATGGTAAATACTGTTTTACCTCAACTGCCACCTCAGCAATTTTACCCTCACTGGTCAGATTCCAGTGAGATGCGAATGGAGAGGATTTTTCTCCCCTCCTTTGTTGTTCTCACTCTCTTATTTTCTTTTTTCTTTTTTTCTTTTAAATTACAGTATGAAGTAATACTAGTTGTTAGAAGAACCCATACGACTCCTTTTTATTTTTTGTTTGTGAAAGAAAGAAGTTGCACAGAAACTACCACTCGGGTGGTGGTTGTATAGAAGATAATGCTTTTTCTGGTCTGCGCCGTGGTTAGCTCTTCTTTTGTATCTGTGGGCGTCGGTTAATAACACTTGAAACAAAGTGGATTGCTGTTATGATGTGATTGATCAAACGAGTCAATCACGTGGATGAATATGATCCGATTTAATTTAGTAAATAATTAATAATTTGATTTTTATAATTATTTAACTAAACAAATTAGATATGAATTATGATCAATTTAATATGATAATAATTCAATCCAACATAATGATCAATTTGATATGATAATAATTCAATCCAACATAATATACTATATAATATATTAAACATATATAATATAATGCTATAATATATAATATTAACATAACATAAAAAAAATGTTCTTATTATTATTTGGGTTAAGTGCAAAAAACCCCTCTCTACTATCGATATAGTGCATATTAGTCCCTGTGTGGTAAAAAAAAACCCTATACTATCAATTTGGTGTGAATAAGTCCCTGGTGGTGTAAAATGACGATAATATTCTCACTTCAGTTGAATAAATTAATAATTATAAATACAGGCCATGTAAAATGACCATTTTGTCTAAATTTGTATAAAATAGGGTTTGTTTAGCAGAAGGATAAAATAAATCTCAAATTATATAAAATAAGGATAACCTAAACCTGAATATAATTAAATCTAAAACCAAACATGCCCTTTCATATTTTAAAATATAAATAAATTTATCATTTATATATATATATATATATATATATATATATATATATGATGCCAGACGACTAGCAGAAGTGCATGGACTAGCTGCAGAGCTCTCTCCAGAGCCGCAACATCCACATTCCTCAGCCAAACGCCTCGTGCGATGCAGTCCTCTGTTTCTGCGGCGTTCGACATACGCCGGTTGTACCAAGTGCCTTGGTGCTCTACAGAAGGTCTGTTTTCCGATAATGAAGTTATTAAACGGAGTTGTCCAGTGATATTTATTCATTTTTGCAATATAAGTTCATATATAAACTGAGCAGCACCAAAAAATTTCCTAAATTTCCTTTAAATTGTAGGAGAAATAAATGGTTTAGTTTTTTTGAATTTGTGAAACTTTTTGGAAAAATATAGATTTCAGTAAATATATTCTCCAATAATGGAAAACATAAGTGTATATTCCATTTTTGTGAAAATGACATTTCATTATATGTATCATTGGCCTATCCTTTTAAATTGCAATGAAATTGGATTATTTCATGTTTCCAGCATTTTGAGTTCTAAAATGCCCTTGTTTGTGGTGCATTATTACAACTGAAGGGTAAGAACGGAAGTGAAGAGGGTGGTGATCACTCCGACGTGATCGCCCTCATCCACCACACCGTTAACTCTGGCGTCACCTTCCTCGACACCTCCGACTATTACCGTCCCTTCACCAAGGAAATCCTCATTGCCAAGTTACACACACACACACATATATATTCACTACTTGCGAAGTTCTATTTGCTCTGCTTACTAAAATCAATTAACACTGATATTTTATTTAGCTAATTAATTGGTCCAATTAATTTATGATTAGGCTCTGGAGGGAGGGTCTAGAGAGAGGGTTGAATTAGGAACGAGGTTCGGTAGCTTCTTTTCCAATGGCAAGGTGCATAGGTGCGGTGATCCGGCGTATGTTCGGGCTGCCTGTGAGGGCATCTTGAAGCGGCTCGACATCGATTGCATAGATCTCTATTACCAGCATCGCGTTGACATTACCATCCCCATTGAAGTCACGGTACCTACTAGTCTATTCGCTTTCTGCTTTGCGTTATTGTAATTTATGATAGATATAAGAAATTGAAAATCAACAACAACTGTTTGTTTCCCAATATTCCACGCACTGCTTGATAAATGTCAGCCAAATGCAACTGTTTTAAATATGTTCATCAAAACACAAGAAATAGGAAGAATATATTAAAATCAATTCAAACAAATTGAGTGAAGTTTAGCATCTTTTTTACATGGTTGGTACGATGGGAGGAGAAAGAAACTAAAGATATGCTCTCATATGGTATGACCATCTTGTGTCCACTTCACTTATCATATTTGCATCTCTTTTTCGAACAAGTATCTACGCGTTCCTAATCCGTTTTATGTCATGTACTCATGTTTATTCCCCAGATGGGAGAACTCAAGAAGCTGGTTAAAGAGAGTAAAATAAAGTATGTAGGTTTATCCAAGGCCCCTGCTTCAACAATCAGAAGGGCAAATGCAGTTCATCCGACAACAGCTGTGTAGTTGGAGTAGTCGTTATGGACAAGATATGCAGGGGAAAAGGTTATTCCTACTTGCAGGTAAGGCATTAGTGGTACTAATTGCTAACTTATATGCTAGGAAATAACAGACAATTTTAAGCTCTAGTTTTGTCCACCATAATTTGTCAGAGAACATGGCATTGGGATTGTTGCATATAGTCCTCTAGGACAAGGATTCCTGTCTTCAGGTCCCAAGATAGTTGAGAAGTTGTCAAGTGGCAACATTGGTAAGGTTAATGCTTATGCAGTGCCTGCGTGTCAAGGAGTGGGACAATAGGCCTAAATTTGGTCCTTTTGATGCTGCGTGTTTGCAGTTCTTTCACACTGAAATATATATTTCATCTTTTGCAGCTTCTGCCAAAGTTCCAACCTGAGAATGTTGAGCATAACAAGAACTTGTTTAAGCAAGTAAATGCTATGGCAGAAAGCAAGGGATGCACACCAGCACAGCTCGCATTGGCCTAGGTCCATCACCAAGGAAATGATGTGCGTCCCATACCCGGCACCACCAAGATTGATTACTTTAACCAAAACATTGGGGGCATTTCACCAAATGTGCTCAACTCGAAGCCATAGCTTCAGCTGATGCTGTTAAAGGTGATAGATTTGGGGGCATTTCAATCACTTGGAGGGAATCAAACACTCTCCCATTGTCCTTGTGGAAAGGCGAATAAACACACGCCTCTGCCTCCTCTAGTTCCTTGAGGTCCAATGTTGTGATGATTTTGTATTGTTTTAGAACTTGTTGGCTTGTGTTCAAGAACATAATAAATAGAATAACTTCTGAAAGTAGGAATAACTTCTTACTCAGAATCTCATGTCCATAATGACCACTTCAACTGTACGTCCTTCTGATTGTTGAAGCAGAGGCCTCGGATAAACCTACATATTTTATTTTACCCTCTTCAACTAGTTTCTTGAGTTCTCCCATCTGGCATAAACATCGGTACAAGGCATCAAAAGGGTTAGGGACCAGTGTTGACAAGTCTTATGGTTCGTGGTCTCGGCTGCTACCCGGAAAATAGGGAGGTTACGTTACCTATCCAAGAAGTTACCCTCAGCTACAGGGCCTAAGGAGAGAAATCATCACGCTCGATAAGATGCTTGTTCAAAAAAGAGATGTACATAAGGAAACATTCAAAAACTAATATATGTGAGAGGGGAAGAGACATGGACACAAGATGGTCATATCATACTACAGCATATCTTAAGTGTGATTACACAACTTTTAAAATAACCTCAAAATATACTTAACAGCTTCCTTGGGGTTGAAGGAGGGGTCGCAGCCTACAACTCTGTATGAAGATAAGGGATGTTTACCAAATGGTAAATTGGTAATTATGAATTAAAATCCATGGACAGAAGAGAAGAGAACCAGAGAATATTATGCTTACTAAACCAGACAGGATTTGGCAATGAGTAAGAATAATGAAAAGAAGAAAAGAAATAAAACCCTTCTAAGAACTGAATTATTAATGAAAAAGTAATCTAAATATTTAGGACTGCTTTAACAGGTATTAAAAAAATCAGGTGATAAGAAAAAATAGAAAGGAGAGCCAATAGTAAATAATTTACAAATCCGTATTTATGAAAACATACGAGACTCAAAACATTATTGAGATATAAGTAGCATTTATATTTATGTAGCTCAACAACCGCTAAACTTCACTCTGTTTGTTTCAAATGGATTTAGTATTTTTCCTTCCTATTTCTTGTGTTTTGATAAACATATTCAAAACAGTTGCATTTTTGGCTGAGACATTCCATCAAGCAGTGCATGGACACTTGTAATACAATTCGAAAACACACAATTTGTTGACTTTCATTTGCGTATTCTCAAATTCCTATATATATAGATCAACATGTTGAGTGAAAGAAATGGAATATGATCCATCTTTATCATAAATTACAATAATATAAAAGTGAAAGAGAAGTGTTTTGTACCGTGACTTCGATGATGATGCTAGTGTCGACGCGATGCCGATAATAGTGATCTAAGAAATTAATGTCGAGCTGCTTCAAGCTGACCTCGCAGGTGGCCCACACATACGCCGGATCATAGCGAATTTAAATCTCGTCGGAAAAGCTGCAACCGAACTTCGTTAAGAGCCTGATCACAAATTAATTCGTCAATTAGGTAAAAAATTAGGGTTAATTACAGTAAGTTGATCTGCAATTGAAAGTGAAATTGTAAGTACCATGGCGATGAGGATTTTATTGATGAAGGTGACGCCGGAGTTAATGGCGGAGTCAGGCTTCATCCTCCTCACTCTCTCCATCTACCCTCAATATAGCTATATATAACCCTCTCTCTCTATATGTCGATATAGCGGCATTTATAGAGAAAGGGAGAGAGAGAGAGAGAGAGAGAGAGAGAGTGTGAAATAGGGGAAGCTGGCAGAGATGAAAGAGGATGTTGGAGTTGCGAATGGAGCTCCTCGGTAAGCTGCTGGTGAGACTCAAAGCGAACGAAAAGACACGTGGAAGAAAGGAGGGGTAGTGTAGGAAACTGATGAATTCGGAGGGTGTTTTCGTAAAAGCAGATGCAGAGTAGGGGGCCAAAATGGTCAAGAAAAAAATTTGGACCATTTCTCGATTTGTGCGTGTCATCCTTGCGCAGGGGCCATGCTAATCTTCTCTGTATCGTTCCAATTTTATCGGATGTCCCCGAAGGGACGGTAGTAAGTTGTGAACGAAACATATATTAGGCGAAGACACTGTAGTTCTTTAACCGATGTGGGACATCTTAACTCTTTTGAAAAACGTGCCTTACACAGCCTAGTTAACTCTACGTTAATAGCCTTCAAACTATTTTATTACTAATCTAGTCAAACTATATAGCCTTGTAGATATGATGATGCCCAATTGTCCAATCAGGTTCCAAGATGTCTGACAGTAGTATTTTATTGTTTGTTTTTGTTTTTTTTTTGTTTTAAACATCCAAATTGTTTTTTTTTTTTGTTTTAAACATCCAAATAATTTCTTGGTGTTAGAGTTTTAATATAGTTTTAAACATCAATTAAATTGAAAATGTAAAATATTTATATTGTTATTGCGTTCTAGATTTCCTGGTATTAAATCCCCAATATAATATTACTTCATGACTTTGTATTTTATTGTGTCCAATAGGGTGCTACAGAACTTATCATATTGTGATGAAATCTAATAAGGATCGTTGGTAAAATGTGATCAATTGATATAATTAACCAAGGTGGTAAATGGAGCAATTGTTTGCACTATTTTATTGGAGGTGATTTTCACCCTTATTTTAAGAGCACCTGTAGCTCGGCTAGAGAAAGTATCAATTTGCATTGAAGTGGCCCAATAGAAATAAAATAGTTCCACAACAGCTAGCGGGCTAGCTCGCAAAAAAGCACAAGTCCAAGTTCAATTGGGATTTTTATTTTTTTTTATCTTTTCCTTTGTCAAAATGTCATCGTTTGTAGCAAAGATCTTTTTTTCTTTCTAACATTCAAAAACAAATCAGCAAAATTTCTGGGTATAATTAACATCGAAAAGAATTGCCCCAGTGACTTCAGCACTGATAATATGGTGAGTTATTTATTGTTATAAATATAACTTGTAAATATTTTAAATATTCGGTTTTTAATGTATTCTTAAATTTTTTGTGTAGATGATAGAAGCTAAAGAGGTATTTCGTAGTCAAACAGGTGCTGAATTTGAGTTAGAAAGTTGACATATTGTGAAACATAACATCAATCTTAACTTTTAATCCATATAATGGATGACGTATCATTTAAAGTTGTGTAATATTAATCCTAAATTTTTTAATCCATATAATGGATAATGTACTGTTTAAAATTATAATATTAGCCGTATATTTTTTAATCCATATAATGGATAATGTAATGTTTAAAGTTATAATATTAATCTTATTTTTTAACCCATATAGTGAGTGTTCATTATATAAGATAAAAAATATAACCGTTAGGAAAAAGTTCCAAGATGTCATATTCTATGAAATCTAAACTGAGCAGCACCAAAAAATTTCCTAAATTTCCTTTAAATTGTAGGAGAAATAAATGGTTTAGTTTTTTTGAATTTGTGAAACTTTTTGGAAAAATATAGATTTCAGTAAATATATTCTCCAATAATGGAAAACATAAGTGTATATTCCATTTTTGTGAAAATGACATTTCATTATATGTATCATTGGCCTATCCTTTTAAATTGCAATGAAATTGGATTTTTTCATGTTTCCAGCATTTTGAGTTCTAAAATGCCCTTGTTTGTGGTGCATTATTACAACTGAAGGGTAAGAACGGAAGTGAAGAGGGTGGTGATCGGACGAGCAAGATGTTGAGCAGGGATTGCCAGCTAATGGGTCTAACGTTGCTGCTAGCTCGGAACAAGATGGCGTACATTCCGACGGTGTCGCCTGTATTGCGCGCCATCATGTACAGTGCGCACCCACCCCACCAGTCCACGTGCGGTCCCGATCAAGAGAACATGCCGCTGGACGTCGATTCCCTACAGTTCGAGAAGGCCGATCCTTCAACGGAGAAATTAACAGAGGAAAAAAAAAGAATTGAAGGAGACATGCATGGAGGGAGGGAGGGAGGGGGAGAGAGAGACACGAATTGGGTTTAGAGTGGGGGTCTTTTTATGCACAAATGGTGAGGAATTTTATGCACAAATGGTGAGGGGCAAAATGAAAAATAAAACGATAAAATGGGGTTTTCAATTTTACTTTTTGTAAAAAGTGGTCAGAGGAACTGGTTCTGCACATTTTTTAAATTTTGTGAACTTACATGCACATTTTCAAAAAGTAGAAATTAGTTTTGCACAAAGTCTATATATCAAGGGGGTTTTTTGCACTTAACCCTTATTATTTAGATCTTCTTCTTCCCTCTCTATTTTTTATTTTTTTTAACTCCCAGAGTGTTTATTATTTAAAAAGAATAAAAAATCTAATTTTCTTTACAATTTTCTTCCATATTTTATTCATTTCTCCCTTCATTTGTATCATTTTTTTTTTTGTTTCTACTACACCCTTTTGACATTAATTTTACTATTATTTTTTTTAAAAAAAACCTACTCGGATTAGACATCTGATAAGAATTCCAGTTACAAAATATCTTTTTATATTATGGAGTTGAATAAGAATCTTATTGAATTCGGATCCGATCAAATCATAATCTAATCAAAATCCAATTCATTTTTAAGTATATTTGTAACCATTAGAAATTCGCAACTGTTATGTATTATATATGCATATATATATATATACACACACACAAACATACAACTATGCAAGTGAACAATAGTCACAGCTGAATGTCTCAAGAAACAAATAAATAGACCATTGTACAATTTGTACCACTAGGAACTTTATTAAAGCAGTATTTACACCTCTCCCCAATGGGGGAGATTGACAAGTCAATTTTTTTTAAAGACGTGTTTGTTTGAGTGTTGGAAAATAATAATAATAATAATAATAATTTGTAGCAACCCTGTTTTTTTGCGTGTGGCGTGACTTGAACCGTGTTTGTTTGTATGACTGATTGTGTAGGATGAGCAAGGTATATATTCAGTGGTAAATTATGAAATATTTTAAGAAATTCGACATTGTCATTTCAGCATACACACACAGTGCTAATAGCATTGTTTACTGTGATAACATATTTTAAATGGTTGCTAATGGCATTATTTATTAAGGTTTTTACTCGTCATATTGCATTATTTCTTAAAAAAAAAAAGAAAGAGGGAAAAGACAATTCCTAAAAATACCTAATAACATAGGGTATTCTCCAATAAAAAATTTATATTTTCATGTTACAAATAAATAAAAAAGAAGAGAAAGTCTATCTCATTTATCGCCGATTAAAATACTTTATTGAATATTATGTATTTAAGTCGCACAAAATATGGATGAAGCATTTATAGCATTACCCTCTCCAACCGTGTCATATTGCAAGTCCACTTTGAAGGCGTGTTAGGCAACACCAAATGCAAGACCATTTTTACCATACAATGTAATGTGAACGCATGAAGAAAGAGGCACACATGACTTTGAAAATAAGAATGCAAACTTCCTCATTCAACAATGTTGGCTGAGATGGAGGAGCAATGTGTCAAACAGATGAAGAGTTTATCTTTCTACCTTTTCAAAAATTATGTAATGTGAACAAGTAAAAATATTAGTCACGACTTTTGTAGTTGAAAAATATAAAGGTGGATGGAAAGGAAGAGATGACTTTAATATGAAGGGAATGTCCTAGCCAAGTAGGTCTTGAATATTATTTATTACTATTTAAAATGAACTCAATAAATGAGAATAATAATAATATATATATATATATATATATATATATATATATATCTTACCTATTTACCGTGTGTTTCATTCGAATCACGATGTGATTTAATCACAAATTCACACGTCGTCTTTATTTACAAAATAAAAAAATAAAAAATAAAAATAATAGAGAGGGTGAATGAATACAGAAGTGAAAGAAACATCCACCCACTCTAAAAACGATGATTAGAAGCGAATGGTCACACAAATTAATATGGATCATGTGTGTGATGTGTTCTAAAATTCTCTGATAAAATTCTCTCTTTCTCTACATGTTAACTACTTCTCTAGGGGGACTATTTTTTAGGACAAGCGGTCTAGAGTCTATAGACTCCTTATCTTTTTCTTCTTTTATTTTTTATATATATATTTTTGTTAATGATAAAAAATTTACACGCCAACTTTATTTCTTTGGAGACTCGGACCCTTACCATCCTCTTTAGAAGCTAGAGAAGTTATATAGCATGAATCATTGTTATCATTGTTGACCTTATAATTGTGAAAAAATTGTTATATTCTTAATAATTTTAGGATAGATAATGAATATTCTGCAAGTGAAATTCATCAAACACCATAGATTTTGTGATTTCATTGTATTCATTCATTACATTACTTTATAATCATTCATTATATTGCAAGTCCACTTTGAAGGCGTATTGGTCAACACCAAATGCAGGACCGACTTTACCATACAATGGTGTGACATAAGAAGATTCGGAGTATTATCATGTAATGTGAACGCATGAAGAAAGAGGCCTTAAAAAGTCCTCGATCCCTATAAAGGAAAATGTCCTTCCCATTTTTCACTTTGTTGAATGGAAAGGAAAATTAGCCAACTAGTCTTGAATATTATTTATTATTTAAAATGGATTCCTTCAATAAATAAGAATAATAATATATTTTTAGATAATACTCACCCACTCATTCCTCACCGCTGAGATTGTCTAATTACAAATACACACATATAATTATTTACAAAATCAGTAAAGTAATAAATGAAAAAACCCGTTTCTTGCAAGTATATATTCATTCACCCTCTCTCTCTCTCTCTCTCTCTCTCTCTCTCTCTCTCTATATATATATATATATATATATATATATTTTACTGATTTTGTAATTAAATATGATAATTAGAGCACAACAACTCAGATCCGTTTGGTTTTTTTTTTTTTTTTTTTTTTTTTTTTATGAAAATAAATTGGCAGAACCATTCCACACGCACAAATTAATATGGCTTATGCGTGTGATGTGCTTGCTAAAATTATCTGTCTCTAATATTTAGATAAGTACGTGTTAACTTTACATGAGTTTCAAAACTTCTCAAGTGGGACTATTTTCCGAGGACAATTAGTTTTCCACTCCTTAGGCACAATCTATCCAAAAGTGGTACCATTAAAGCAGTTGCATTTTCTGTGAACCAACTTCCACTTTTCACTTCGAGTGCCTAATCCATCTCGATGATCATGTATATCATGATTGCTTATTTTAGTTCTCTTTTAGCTGATGGATACCTACAAAAATTCAATTTCGTATATTCCAAAATCATTATGAAATTTTATGATGCGACATGAATCATCGTTATCATTGTTGCCCTATAATTGTTAAATAATTGTCATATTCTTAATAATTTTAGGATAGATAATGAATATTCTGCAAGTAAAATTTATCAAACACGATAGATTTTGTGATTTCATTGTAATCATTCATTACATTACTTTACAATACACAGAAAAACCAAAAAAAAATAATATGTAGGACTCGCATACAAAGAAAGTTCTCCAAAGAGAACCCTACAAGAAGACGACCTTGCCAGAAATCCCCAAAATGAAAATATAAAAAAATATACATATATAAAAAGAAAAAAGAGAGAATTTATTTCCTACCTACCAATATCCTCTAAAAAAGAAAATTCAAATTCAAATTAAATACATGAAATCAAAGCTTTAAGGTTCCAGCTTCAAGGAAACAACTCGTGCCTGCCTGTTGCGCTTGGCTGCCTTGACAAAGACTACAGAAAGGCAAGCAGGAGCCCACCATGGTCGTCTTACTTTTTGCTCCCCTTTTAGGCAAGCCACTGGGGATACATTTTATGTCAGTAAATAGAATTGCAGTCTTAAAAAGTTTTAATATTACGATTAAATTAATGCAAGATCACTTAATTAAGATGTAAAATAACATAAAATACAAAGACGCACAGCATCTGTTCGATGCATGTAACACTAAGAATGTAATCCCATCAAGCTGCATTCGAACAAAGCAAGAAGAGTGAAATGCATGTACAAAGAAAAAATCCACAATAAGGGACCTCTCTCTTCTCTCTCTATGTATATGTATATGTATATGTATATGTATATGTATTTAAGAATATAAATTTTCTAGTTTCAAGATATCAATCTGGTGCAGTAAAGACAACAAAATTCATGTATGGTCTTGACAGCATTGAAAGAGAAACGTCCCGCTTAACATGCATGACTTCTGCATACAGAGTAAAATTATGTCCAGTAGAAGTGTGAAACTCTTGTTTTAGTTCATAGCCAATTACATTTATAACAATGCTAGGATACACTGGGCAATTTTAATTTGTTCATGCTGCATACGAAAAAGTAGGCTTCTCCATTACAATGATTCCACCTACCTACACGCTGCCAATCAAAACATAGGCAGTCTCCCATGGATAGGAAACTACCAAGTATAATTATGATCTAATTACCCAGTATCTAGATATTTCTTTTATGGCTTTATACAAGTGAAAAGGGCCCATTACTTGGTGAAATGGTAAAAGCTACCATTGTGAAGCATGAAAAAGTGGAAGGTCGGCCACTTTGTGCAAATAATGCCCACTAGATAGGTCCACACCTATTCTACCCTTACAGCACCCTGCGACACTCTCTAGATAATGGCCATAAAAACTCAATTATAGGTGTTTAAAAGACGTGCAACCCATATACAGCAAAAAGTAGAATCTAATTGCACAATTGTCTTCAATGTTGTACTAGGAAGAATTTTCTTGCAATCGCACAGGGGGAGAGAGATAGAGAGAGAGAGAGACCTTTAATTCGCCTCAGTTCCTTGCACAAGGTGATGAAATCCCCCCATTTCATGTGGCACCGCCTTATAAACCGAAGAATCTGTTCGGTTGTGAACATGGACATACCCTCCAAGTATTCTCCATTGACACCATTTTCTTTGAAAATTTGGCGATAGTTACCAAGATTTATTTCTTCCAACCACAAACCAACATCCTGGCAACACAAAAACAAGGTATATCATTGAGCCAATAAAAAATAGGTCAAGGAAAATCTTAAGTTTCATAGTTGCACAAAGTACATTTATTTCTTTGAATAATTTCAGAAAATCAATGTTGTTGGTACAGCTTCTTTAGCCCATTTTACTTGCTGAATAAAATCCAACAGCACACAAATTGCTTTTACAGTACAATTGCTTTCACATTTCAAGTAAAAGCTACTTTTTTGCAAAACTTGACGTTCACAAATTATATTGGAAATGAGGTGGACGGCAACAAGTACAAAGCATAACATCAAAAAAAGAGGGGAGGGGGCCTCGATAGGTTTGGGAGGATCAAATATTCTCCATATTTAGCTTGTATTGTGGTAACCTGGTACCAAACTACTTCCATACACCAATTCTCTTCTCAAGCTGCATTTCTAAAAAAACAGCCTGTGAATAATATACTATGCAGTTCATTACTCCGTATTTATGTACAATTAGCAGGCATACTTTATATAGCTTTTCTTTGTCAACACCACCAGTCCTGAGGAAATGAGTCAAAAAACTGGGCCAACTCTTATGGAAACATTACTATTTATCATTAATTCTGGATAGGGATGCATCTTTCCTTTGAACTATCATGGAAATTCCTGGTTCTTAGATGACGACATTTTTTTATAGATACTGATTATGACAGATAAAATATATATATCACACAATTGGACGATTCCAAACTGTATTCCGTTTCCTTCATATGACAGTCGATCATATACGCTACTTAAATACCCCTTTATCTATGTGGGTGCAATTGTACGTAGATTTGAGGATGTTCAGGTAACACCTTAATCATTAACACTGTCTAACTGGTATTTGGCAAGTATTATCTACTTCATTTGTGAAGAAAGAAAGAGAAAGTCTCTAAGAAAAAAGAGAGACAAAAGTAGATATGAACCCTACTGCACCACTGGTGAAGTGTGTATCCTTGAACTGAGTTCAGAGAAGCCCACATGTCTGAATTCAAATATCCAAAAAGAGTGGGAAATTTTGTGGTAATTATAAGATGGGCTTTTGTAAAAGGAAGAACGCATTTAGTTTACAGTGTTGATTATTTCTTCCTTTCTTTTTTTCCGATTTAGAAAAGAGGGATCTTGTTTTTATTTTTATACAAAAAGCTAAGACACACTTCTCATCTGTGTATTCATCATGTTTCCTCTCCATCCTTCTCATTTTAATCTATTATGCAAACACATGATAGTTTTAAAATTTTAATCCATATGAAGGGTTTAATGACATAGAAGTTTAGATTATATTGTTGACACCAGTAACAGAGAAACCTATTTTCCCCTAATAAAGCAACGATAGAGAAGAAACGGGGCAAACTGCCCACCCTTGAGCCTCCCCCAAATCAAGATAACATTATAAACCTGTCATAGGGCTGCAAATAAACCGAGCTTGAGCACATTTTTTAGGCTCGTTTAGTAAACGAGCCGAGCTTGAACAATGCTGAGCTCGGCTCGCGAACAAATTCGTTTAGTAAAAGGGCCAATTTTTTTTTTTTTTTTTAAACCTTATATGCAATTGTTTAGCCCATTTAATATATATCAAGTCCAAACTCCTGCACGTTCATAAGCCTAACATCATTTTAGTTTAAGACCAACTTCATTTAACCTTAAGCCCAACTCTACTTAACCTATTACCCATCATCACATACATGTCTTTATATCAGCCTTTGGATTGCCTGACCAAGTTCATTACATTTGTGATGAAACCCCAATCATATATAACCGCAACAGATCGCATCACTCCTCTAATCCCTTTCAAGTTTCAACACAACATCTCTTCTTCCTCTCTTGCTCGCCGGCAATGGTCTCCAACGGATCTTTGAAATCTCTGTGATGAAACCCTAATTATATGCAACTGCAACAGATCTTGCAACAACACTCTAATCCCTTTCAAGTTTCAAAACATCATCGTTTCCTCTCTTGCTCATCGGCGACGGTCTCCAACAAATCTCTCTCCCTAAAATCATCTCTTGGGTCCCTTTTCTCTGATGACATCTCGATCCATTTTAGTGTTGGTGGGATCAGAAGGAGATGATCTGAAAACGGAGGTCAGCAAAAGAGATGCAGCAAAGTTCTTCCATATTTGAAACCCGTAAGTGTATAAATCTAAAGCTTTTCCTTTATTTTTTTTGAAGGCAAGCTCCAACCGAGCCCGAGCTCGCAGAAATGCTGAAGAGCCGAGCTCAAGCCTGGTTTTATCAAGCTCGCCCGAGCACCCTCCTGGCACTGCCGAGCTGAGCCCGAACAAGGTAAGGCTCGGGTCGGCTAGGTTCATTTGTAGACCTACCTATTATAGTTTGTTGGTCAAAGCCCACAAGTTTAGTCTCTCTCACCGGAACAAAACCACCGTCACTACATAATCATCAGAATATAACAAAAGAGAGCAGACTCGGTTATTGTTTAATATTTGAAAATGAATAAAAGAGATGAATGTTGGTGAAGTGGAGGACTTTGCACAGGTGTTCGATTTTTCCAGCTTCTGATCACACATTCTCCCCTTTATCCCTACCTACAAATTTCTCTTTTTCCTTGTTTCTTTCTCCTTCATTACTCTCTTATACATTGAAGGAATTACTGGTGAGGTTTTTGTCATTTGGCAGTGAGGATACCCTCACTACCTGAGAATCTGATAAGTTGCAAGGAAACTTGTGTGTTTGAAGAACAGTGTTCCAGAAAGAGATATACTGGCTGCATGGCTGCCACATATCATAATCCTTATGGCATTTAAGTTCCATCACCTGCATTGTTATTGATGTCATTAATTCTCTCCATTTCATTATCAAACACTTACTTTTCCCCAAATGCAGTATCATAATTTCCATTAGCTGGTTCCATTTTGTTCCATATTTTCTACTTGTTCATCTCTAGCATTTAAGTTAACATTCATCTCCTTCTCAAAAACATAAAGTAGAGAAAATTAGATAGTAGACTTAGATGGTTTGGACACAAACAACGGAAACCTATATATGCGCCAGTAAGACAAGGAAGACTAGTTGTTATAGAAGGTGTGAGGCGAAGGGAGAGACCAAAAATAATATGGGATGAGGTAATTTAAAATGACTTTAAAAAGTTACACATAATAGGTGAAACGGCATGCCATAGAAAAGAATGGAGACAGAAAATTCATGTGGCCAATCCCATGCATAGACGAAGGCAAGGATAATGATGACCGTCACAAACATCCTCAATTTGTCCATTTTGCAGCCTCTTTAATACTCTCCCAACTTTTGATTATGTAACTTTTAAAGCACCACCAAGGAAATGTATGTTCCAATACAATCAGTATTAGACAGGATTTAGTTAAAACAAGAAATTGGGGGGAAGTTATGGATGCATCAATATCATACAATACACAAGTTGGAAAGACCTCCAACGTATATGCTCCTATTACAACACCCTATAAAAGAACTTGTAATTCATATACCACAAAATTGCCTCAAAGTCGGTATAATAACCACATAGAAAACTCACAAGTCAAAAAGTGACAAATATAAAACTCCAAATACTTAATTCAATAAAAAAAAAATTGCATCAGTTATTATTCAACGGATAAAATGATAATATATGGTGGCACTTATATTTTCCAAACGTATGAGGAACAGCAGATCTCCAGACAGAACAAAAAAATTCTAATGCCAAATCACTAATTCTCAGTTAATTGGGAGAAAACTGTATGAAAATAAAATAAAACCCGAACTCCTTTTTCCTTTCTGTTGAGTCGGTAGTCAAACAAACTCACAAAGCCAAAGTAGAGTTGCATTAGGATCAATTTAGTAGAAGTTCTGTTTCCCCATGTCCTAAAAATAATGAAAAAGACAACATTCGCAAATTAAATCCATTTCCTTTCCAGCACTTTCTCAGCAACCAAACGGTGCAAAAGCAATTAAGGCAATAAACAAACACTTAATTTACCTCATCAATATATAGATCTAACTGTATAATATAAGATCAAAATCAAGCATACAAAAAATTCTGAGGTGGGTACATACCTCAACAGTCCAAATGAAGAAATCGAGAGGCTCAGGTGGGCGTTCTTTGTTCATCTCCCGAATCAGTACTCAAAAACACCCTTAGTTCACGAGCAAAAGAAGCCTTCGTGAGATCGTACAGTATTCCATTGACGTTTCGATATACAATTGTAAAAAAAATATCAGATGAATTAAGAGAAAAACACATCAATATCTATACAAATATAAAAAAAACAAAAGCATATACATATTAGCGTGTATGCATATGCATGGAGATGCGATTGATATGGATTTACCAAGCTAGAAGGTGTGTTTAGGGTTTGATTATATACATTTGAAGATGAAAACCAGGAAGAGAGAGAAAGTAGTGTGTTTTCGTACTGACGCTTCACTTTTGTCCACTTCTTTGTTCTACAAGGATGGACCGGTCATTTGCTTTGCTTTATTGGTTGTTGAATCATATGTGACCTTGTAAATCATCACCACGCGCTATGCTACGCGCGCTTCTGTTAAAAAATATATCAGCTTTTTATTTATTTTATATTTTAGGGTAAAGTGAAAAAAATAAAAATAAAATTAAAAATCCTATTATATACAAAAATGTGCAAAAACTCGGTGTTAAGAAAAAAAAAATCTCTACATTTTTAAAATTGAGTAAATAAAGATATTTTCTCAATTTAAAAAATAAAATGCCTTTAAAACAAAATAAAAAACATTTATATATGCAAATATTTTATTATGGGTGTTTTGAATTTTTTTTTTTTTTTTTTCCTAGTTGGGAAATTCACACACACTGCCTCCATTGAGGTTCGAACCCCTAATCTCTCTTTGGGAGGTAAGAGCCTTATACCATTAGGCCACAAGCCTGTTGGTGGTGTTTTGAAATTTTTATAAAACAGTAAGGCACAATTTGCTACAAATTTTCATATTATAAAAATTTATATACACATTGTAAATAGTAAGGGATTTCTTGCACATTTTTTTATATAAAAATGGTTTTTTGTACTCCTATTTTTTTATTTTAAAACAAAAAATCAACTCATTAGCTATGAGCCATGTGGCCCACGTGCATCATATAGTAATTTGTAAGAAGAAAGGGATTTTTTTGAATATTATTTAACCACTATATATCTCTTCTTGTACAAAACAAGTTAATAAATTAAATTAATCTTCTTTCAATTATATTGGAAAGATATATTGATTCTCTATTTCGTCTAACTTTGAATCAAAAAAATCTTTGTTATATTTTATATTTAACTTGTATAATAGTATAAAAATAAAAATATAATGTTATATTTTTATTTTAACTTGTATTGATAGTGAAAAATATAAATAAAAATTCTCTATTCATCAATGCCATAAAGTTAATGATAATATAAATATTGCATGAAACGGCAAGTGCAACTCGCATTGTCTAAAATTCGAAGGAGTACACTTTGCGTGGCTATGTTTTTCACACTAGATATAAAAATTCGGAAGGAAAAAAATTAGGAGAAATCCAAAATATTTTAATTTGAGTTTCTATCAAGTCTCACCTTTGATATATAAATAATGCACACCCATTAATATTGATTGGGATAATGATAAGATAATTAGAACACATTAATCATTATAATTAGAACACAATTTATATCACTTAATAGAGGATCTCACCCATGATTAACCATGAATGGTCCGGCAGGCCACATGGAAGACAAAGCAAAAAAGTTTGATTTGGTACTTTATTTATACAGTATCTAGTATGTGGGTTAAAGCATAACGTGTAATAATCGAAAGGGAATAGATATGAATACACTTTATTGTATATGATGAATCTTGAATACACTATTCTACTAGCAAAACAAAAAGAAAGAAGTTTGATATTAGCAAAAACATAAAAAAGATGCATCATGTTTTGGGTAAAAGCTGATAAATTCTTAGTTTGAAGGTGAGTTGTTGAAGTGCAAAAGGTAGGAGGAAGTTGATTTATAGCCAATAGTCTTACAAACCATATAATCTTTAATTCATCTTTTAACTCCCCTTAGAGCGGAACCTCTCATTTTTTTACATGGAATATTTAAAGAAAAATGATATATCTTCCGAATTCGAAGAATGTCAATCGGGGTGTTGTGAGTTGAGGTGCGAACTCCATTACATACAGTGACAGATCCAGAATTTTTTTTGAGAGGGGGCGTATTTTTAATTTGTGAGGGACAAACTTATATAGTGGGTTTATTTTTATAATTTTAATAGAGTTTTCTTCATAAATTTTTAAAAAATTAAAAAAAAAAAAATCAGTGGGGGCGAATTATAATTTTAGTGGGGCATCTTCATAAATTCTAAAAAATTGAAGTATAAAATGCGAAAAAAAAAAAAATGAAAATAAAAATCCATTGGGGCAAATTATAATTTTAGTGGAGACATATTCATAAATTCTAAAATATTTGAGATATAAAATGAAAATATAAAAAATCATGTGATTAAATTCACACCCCCACATATTCCTTATTGGACATCTAATCTTCCTTTGTCCACAATAAATACTCGTCTTTTATTGATTAAGAACGCCTTTGAGTTTCACAAAATTTACCATTTGGCACCAAGAATTTGGCAAAAGTATCATTATTTATCATATTATACACACTTCTTTTTCTTTTTTCCACAGGTAAATTTACTTCACACATGAGTTGCACTAACTTTCAACCTTTTTCCTGAAAAAAGTGGAGAACACGCCCCATATAATTATTTTTAAGGAAGTAGGGAAAGAAAAACCAATAACAATAAGAGAGGATGCATATGTATACATTTAAGGACCCATGAGGTTTGAAGTGTACCTCAGGTCCTCATGTAAATTATGCTGTTCACTACAATGCAAATAAAGATCAGTTACAGGGTACCAGAATATTAACCAATGCCCTTTTAATTCAATTCATGAGAATAGAATTGTACTTTTATGTTTGGCTTCAAGTACCAATAAAAAGCTATTACTGTGTTGCAGTCTCATCAGTGTAACATACATGAACCAACAATATTTTGCACAAAGTAACTGCAGCTGATATTATGCACACAGTGAGTGATTGCAGACTCAAATTCATGTCTAAACAAGAGATGCCAATGAAAGTTCAAATCAATGTTGTCAAAGGGCCAAGAAAGTGGTATACCATCACCACTCCAAACAAGAAATGCCAATGATATTTCAAATCAATGTTGTCAAAGGGCTGAGAAAGTGGTATACAATCTCTACTCCAAACAAGAGACGCCAATGAAATTTCAAATCAATGTTGTCAAAGGCTGAGCAACAAAAGACACTCTTTTAAAAGGAAAACAGTTTTGATAGTTGTAGAATGGCAAGTTTAAGAGCACCATACAATTACAACCTCTGCAGTGACATATTGTTGAATCATATGTAGTCACAAAAATAGGCTACCTTGCTAATTATTGGGTTCCAAATATATGTGAAGCCACATATATTCAAGCAAGTGCTTAAAGTTATTCAGTTTCTGTATGTAGATCCTCACATAACATGTAGACATTACAGAAGTAGAAAGGAGTAGGTGCAACCTGAAAATCATTTACTAGGTCCCAGCCTGAGAGTCTGTCAGAAAAAAGATGATATCTAAACTTCAGCTATGAGTTAAAAATCAGGTGTTTTCGATTAAATCCTTTCCAAACTAGATTCAACCTTATTCGATTGAATCAGACTGCCGCAATTTGTGAGCAAATTGCGGCAAGTTTGATACCAATTTTGAGTTTTGAATTTTCAGATACAGAATCAACATCAAGTTATTTCAATTCATGATCTCTTAAGAGACTAATCAACGACTATGATTCTAAATGAAATGTAACACTGCAATATTTTCTCACTTGCACCCGTGCACAGTTCCACATGCACAATGGAGAAAAATGACTAATATGATGACATGAGCTGAAATTTTGATTCATCGCAGATTTTTGATTCGTCAGAAAAAGAAGGAATTGAACAAGAATAACAATTCCAAAGTGTGTCGCAGACTGAACAGCAAAAATTGTCTAAGAAACTACTCCTTAAAATCAAGATAAAGAGAAACACATTTGAGGATCTGAGGTTAAGACATCTAGAAAAATGGATGCAAAAAAGGTATTGTTAAAACTGAGAAATTGCCGAAAAGCGAAAAAATTTACCTTGATTTGCCAGACTGTGTGACGCTTCTGGCAGTCATTTCTCTCTGAAGAACCATCTATACAGAAATAGTCACTAGAGCTGATCCAACTCCTTCACAGGTTAATTTGATTCCAGACTAAAGAAGCAACATTGATAACATCCCTGGCTTCCTTTTTTAATTTTACACACACAAACACACGCACGCACATATAAATATAAATATATCTATATATATTGTGTTGGTTTCTCTCAAGCTGCGAGTGTTCTTTTAGTTCAAGAGTGTGATGTGTTAGAAGCTTCATTGTAATATAAAAAAACAATTATCAAATTCCAATTCTATTGCTAGACAGTTAACATAGACAAACAGGACCATAGAGTCATCTGACAAGTTTATATTCTGGAATATAAAATAGACAGGTTGAATTCAGAAACTGATACTGATATGGAATATGAGTAAATGTTCCATACAAGCTTCTGCTTTTTTGCAGGGAGGAAAAAATATTATATATATACATATATATCCTAGATAGTTAACATATTTGGAATTAAAGTCATATGATAAGTTCTAATTCTAATATATTAAATAGACAGGATGAATTAAAAAATTGATGCTGATAGGGAAGATGAGTTAATGAAAATAAAATATTCCATTCAAACTTCTGCTTTTATGCATAGAGAACGAACAGATGACAGAAATGCAGAGAGTCCTGGTTAAGAAGAATTACCCGCTGTTCAGAACGGCGTTCCAAAATCAGCAACTTTGTTTAATTAACAACCTAGAGACAGCAAACAGTGTTCTCATGAAAGATGATCATCATCCCTCAAACGAGTGCCTAAAAACCTTGGCTACCAATTAATCAACTCAACAATACATAAAATGTAATATCTAATTTTTCTTGATTTTCAAATATTCTACAGGTTGAAATTAATTGAAGTTTCAAAAAAATACTCTTTTCCCAGGAAATTTTTCATAAAGTTGGGCTCGATTAAGAGTTGATAACTAATTTTGAAGTTTCAACTAAATCCTGTCTACCATCAATGTTCAATTTTTGGAAAAAAATAAAATAAAAACAAAAATAAAAATAGAAGGAAAGAATGCATCATGACAACTAAAATTGGGATTAGATAAATTTCTGTTCTTTTTTTTCCCTGAAAAAATTTCTGTTCTTTCACTTCACAGCACGTTGGCATAGAGATGGGGAGGGGAGGGGAGGGGAGAAACTTAATGAGAAAGCAAAAAGCACAAAAGAAGGGATGCTTCTAAAGTGAGAAGAAATAAGGAAAAAATATATAAAGGGGAATAACGAAAAATCAACACCAAAACTACCCAACTACAACCCAAAAAGGAGATTAAACATAAGCCAACAGAGACCAATAATAAAGACCACCATTGGTTTTCCAAAAAAATACTCCCCTTCAGCAGATTAGCCTTAGCTATGATTTTGGAGTCTCCTTCCACCAAAAGATATTTAAAATCATCATACAGCCCCGCTCAGGCCATACACAATGGAATCATAACACTCCTCTGTAAGACAATCACAAGTACCAAGAAAGACTGGTTCTCAAATTAATATGTAACACAATCAATTGACAGACATCAAAATTGTTTGAATATTTCATTTGCGACGAAATTGAAGATACAAACCACATGTTGTGAACTTGTTCAGGGGAAAGTCAAGCCGAGATCAGTGCTGTGACACCAGATCAGCCATTTTGGATAGATTGCACTCCACGAGCCTTCTTTGGAATACCACACACACTCTCTTTTCTGAACAGCTGGACAAACTGGGTCAAGCAAACGTGCCAGTAGAACAAGTACAGGCTAGATAGAGAAAAGATTGGCAAGGTAATGAGAAAAGAGAGAATGGTGCAAAAGAGCACAATAGTAACAAATCTCAAAAGCCACTGCTAGAAGTGTTGCCTGATCTAAGAGTACCCGTTGGTCCATTAGTAGTTTTGCTAATGATCCCCTTCCCAAAATACTCTGCAATCACAGAAAACCCATCTTTTGAACTCTTAACTTGATGGAAAAACCGATCTTGTTCCTTGGAATTCTGTTCCAAGCTTCTTTTCATTTCCAGGACAGCTCTGTACTCGGGAGCACACTCAGGGCATTCTTTTTCATTGTCACCCAGGCAACGCTGATGGAATGAGTGCATACACATAAAGTGCACAGCAGGAAGATCAAGGGTAAAAGTACATGCAGTGCACTTGCTAAGCTGGAAAATTCTCGCATTTGTCCTGAGATCCTGGATTTCCCTTCTCATTGTTAATGCTTCTTCCTGCACAATTAGGGGAGTGGATTAAGATTGCTCTCTTTTCTCACTAAAAACAAAACACCTTCATGGATGGTGATATGATGTGAAGAGAAATATATCACATTCCATCACTGATTAGAAAGAGTGAGAAAGAACGAAAAAATATTATTCCTGTGAAGTGATTCTCCAAATTGGACCAAGTTTATTTACCGGTCATCAAGAAGATCAAGAGCCCCACAAATGCATGTCTAGTAAGAACCTGGAAAAAATGCGCACAGTTTGATTGATTTCTTTGAACCCATTACTGCCTGATTATAATTGTTAAATATTTCGCAGAAAAGACTCACTTAACCTACTTAGGCAGCGCATAAGCACCCCTAGCATGTATTGAAGCAGGTGCTCTATTCAAGCCAAGGAAATAAATGCACACCATCTTTCAAAATGGTGGAATATATATTTTAAAGAGCAAATGTTTATGCTAGAAGGAAAGAAGGCCCCCACATCAATGCATACTACATTCCCAAGAACTCTAGCTTTTCAAATTATGAGGGGCGCAAAGAGGGTAATGTGTACAAGTCCAGTAAAGTAATACTCATTTGTACCACTAAATGGAAGATAGGGACCAATGTCAAATGCATACTACATACAAGCCCAAGTCAGTCAAATTAAAAAATTCCTCCCAAGATACTATATATTTATTAACAAGTGCTTATCATTGCAATTTGCAATCAAACTCTCTGTTAAGGCATTCAACACTGAACCTTTGCAAATGCCACAATAAGGTAGAATAAATAATTTATATTAATGAAGTAAATAAATGACAAAACACAAACCTGATACTTCTCAATAGCTCGGCGGTCCTCTTCAATCAGCTTTGATTCCTGTTCAAGCTTCCGAGCAATATAGTCCTTGATGACTGAGAGAGTTAGGCATGGATTTCTAGACAAAGTCTGAAGAACAATAATGGGGGGCAAGATGTCATCCCTTTCAATATAAGTCAAAACTTCCTTCACTTCTTTGGAACACTCTTCTCCGAGTTCACCAAAGTACTTCAATAGATCTGCCCAAAGAGAAGGATCGCCTCCCTTACCTGAATCCCCCAGCCTCTTGCAGCATGCAATCAAACCATCATGATCATGGGCCTGCATGTAGCAAGATATAACCTCTTTATAAAGTTTCATCTTCTCATAAAGATATAAATGTCCTTCTCTGAATCCATTCATTTCACAGAGAATTATAGCAAGATCAACATCATATAAAGGTTGTTCCAATTCAGCTGGCCATGCACTCTTAAGCAAGCGAAGCCCCTTCTGAAGTCTTTCCTGACGATCCTTCTCCTTATTCAAATCTTTGCGATCAGAAATTGATTTTCCATTGGACTCTGCTTTTGCCATCACAGTTTCTCCTGATGTTCTTTCTGCTCTGAGATCACGATCTCCACCAGATTCAACTAGTGAGATTGATGGGAAGTTCAAATCATCAGACAGGTACAACTCCAAGAGTGTGTTGTGAATTTCTACTTGAGCAGGTGAGTCCTTCACTTTGTTGGTGTATTTCTCGAGGAATTCCATTAGTGACGGTGGATGATGTATAAAAATATTAAGAAAATCAACTGGAGATGGCAACATTGATATGTATGTACCATTAGATATCCCTCTTTTGGCCGCTTCACCTTCCTCGGTGCAAAGCCTCATGAGTATTTCAATTGTTTCCACTGGTTTGTGCTCTATGAGAATCTTACCATACTCCTTCACTGTCAGTCCAGCCTGGCTTGGTTCAAGACTAGAAATATATCTCAAGGCTTCTTCATAACTACCCAGGTCTTCTAATAAGATTTTTAGGTACCATTCGTGCCTCCCAGCCTTTTTAGCTACATACATCGCATGTTCATGATAGTTGGCAGCACGACAGACTCTTATTGCAGTCTCCACATCAAATTTATGCTCCCCCATGCCATCTTCACTTTTAATGAACAAGTTCAGCTTTTCCACATCTTTCAGTTTGGTGTAACAGTTTAACAAAAGAGTGGTATGATCTTTAGAAGCAAGCCCCTTCTCATGTAATTTTTCCAAGTAATTAGTGAGGTTATAAATTCTTTGTGCATCTAGAAACTTCTGTATCACATATGAAGGTTCAAGGTGGCCAATGGTGTGGATGTACTGGGCCATAGCTTCATCATACTCTTGCTTGCCATATAAATGATCGCCGTACTTCCTCAGCACTTCAGCAGTAGCGGCCGCATCAGCTTGCTGACTCTGGACAAGATTGATTGCTACTGGATAAAGATTCTTCTTAAAAAGCATATCTAGCTTGCTTTCCATATCCTTCTCCCCAATACATAACGCTGATTTGTCTGTCATTATAAGTATTATGTTCCCCCATTCACAAAGCATGTGAGAAACTTCTTTAACCACTAAACTATGGGCAATTAAACGGTTTCTCAAGTCATAAATATTAAAAGTATTCTTGCCATTTCTTTGATCTGCAATAACACACAAAAGGTAGCCACGAAACCACCCAACGGATTTTTTCTCTCCCTCAAAAGCCCAACAAGGGCCACGACCATCAACTTCGTAGAAGTACACTGCCTCAGGTCGACCAACAATCAGCTCCTGATCACAGGACAACAATAAAATTGTCAAATGAACGGAGATAAACACAACACTCATCTTATGATAAAACAAATAAAAATCACCCCGAAAAACATACATAGCGATCACTCATCGCAATGCTATTAAAGTTGCATCCAATCTGATCTAGGGTTTGCCGACTAGGTGGTTCAGTCTGCAAACTAAACAAGCTCACTGCAGTTGGAGTTACTGCAAATAATTGAAGGGCTTGACCATCAACTCGGAAGCCCAGACCTGTGATGGATGACTGGTATTTGTCTGAATGATTATCAACCTGAAGCTTGAATCGTTTGATACGTTCACGTGCAATGTCTCCCTTGATGCAGTAAATGCAACCATTGTCCAACCCAATAGCTATAAGTAAGATTGGTGGAGCTTCCTCTAGAACCAAGAATGACGTAATCTGCAGGCACCAATTTCTTTAGAAAGCCATGTTCAGAGAGAGATAAATCACAAATCAATATTCCTGAACAAGTTATGTGAGACATTTTCGATGAAACACCTGCATTATAAGATGATAAATAAAATTATTAATAATGATAATTATAAGCAAGTGTAACAAGCACTACCTTTGCTTCAGGAAACTGATTCGTAAATATCCGCAATATTTGAATACACTCGGGACTTGATGTGCTGGAGCCTTCTGGCTGCATCTTATCGAGGTCAAAAACCTTCAAGCACATGGCTGACAGCCCTGTAGATATCTGTTCATCTTCTCCAACAGTTACTAGGAAGTTGCGTTGCTGATTCATCGACAAGAGATAACAATAGTTAGCAAAAAATTCATCCAAAATAAAGCGAGAATGCCAACTTAGGTCGACTTAAAATAAAGTTGACAGCCAACCCTGTAGTGAACATAGTTGCTAATTCATTGTTGGGGACCTGTTCTCTTGCTAAACTTTACCACTTCAGATATAAACTCAATCTATTTCCAATATCAACCACATGTTATGGGTATATTGCACTTCTTTTAAGCCTGCCATCACTAGTTAAAAAGTGTTTCAAACACATTCTCATGAAATAAACTAATCCACCAAATTAAGGAGCAACTTTAGACAAGGGGTGCGATTTGGACACCTAGGTGGGAAGGTGGTCTTAAGATGCATGAGAATCAGCCTATCCATTTCTTCATTTCTGCGTTAACCCCTTTGGTTCCTTTATTCAAAGTCCCAATTCAGGAACAAGTATCCCTAGCCTTAGTTCTTGCATCTTCCAATGAGATGGACTGTGCTATACTTCAAACAAAGTTTACAAACGACCTTGAAAAGCCAGTTGTAAAATAAGCAGCAGCTTACCATTTCTCACAAAACTGCCATTTTTTCAAGGCAGTAAACAAACAGCATTTTCTCGAGTTAAGAAACTTTTACTAGTAATTACAGAGGCAATCTCTAAAAATGATATTGACATAACCTTTCGATGATGAAAATCTTACAGATGACCTAGCCCCTTCATTTTTTCCCTTGTTTTCCTAGTTTGGATTCTAATTGAATTCAAAAACACCAACTTTTTTCTAGCTACATTTAAAATCCCTAAATTGTTTCCGTATAAGATACATGTATATGTGGGTCTATATTTAGTGTAGAAACAAGAACGAGGAACATCAAAAATCGAACTGAACGAAATTGAATAGCTTTGAAATTGGGGATCAAACCTTAAGCTGTTGAAGGAAGAGGACAGAGGAAGAGTGAGCTTGGAATCCATAATTGAATTTCAACCCGCGATCGAGCAGACTCACGTTGCCGTCATCGCACCCGACCACAATCTTGCCCCTTCCGCTCGAACAGCACTCGATTTTTCCGGTGACGTCGTCGGGAACAGAGCATTTTCCGGCGTATTTCTCTTCAAAAAACTCGAATTTTCTCCACTGGTACATCGTCAATGAAGTGTACCAACCGAAGATCGAACCCTAGAGATCGGAGGAATATAGTTGCCGGAGCTTAAAACTGCCCTCACTATGCATATATAAATATGTATATGTACAAGGAGTGGAGGGATCAATTGCTGATGAAGTAGAATAAAGCATGGACAATTCTACAAAAGTTGAAGCAAACTATCTTTCGCAAAAGCTGTTCTAGCCATGTCAATTTGGGAAAAGGACCCCTTGTTGATCAATTTTAATTAGGGGTGCATAGGGTCCGTTTCTGCGCCTTAGAACCGAACCCATTTTAACGGTTTGGACTTGAACCAAAAATTGAGACTGTTGAAGTTTGGAAACAAATTTAATCGAGCCAAACGGAAAGATTGATTCGATTCGATTATGAACCACATCTCCTTTTTCTTTTTTATAACTATTTTTTTTAAAACCGAACCCATTTTAACGGTTTGGACTTGAACCAAAAATTGAAACTTTTGAAGTTTGGAAAAAAATTTAATCGAGTCAAACCGAAAAGTCGATTCGATTCGATTATGAACCACATCTCCTTTTTCTTTTTTATAACTATTTTTAAAAAAAAAAAAAAAAAAAAAATTAATTCAATAACTCTTTGAATTTGACTTTTCAAAACAAATATAAATTTATACAACAAATAAACAATAATAAACCGTTCAACCGAAAAAAAAATTATATATGTAATTTAGAAGTAAAAAAAATATTTGTGAATAGCCTTATTTTTGTGTATAGTTTATAAAACAGATTATTGTGCACTTGTGTATAGTTTTATTTTTATGACATCTGTTATATTATTGTTTATTAATATTGTAATATATGTGTATATATATAATTAGTTTACGGTTCAGTTCGGTTTAAATGAACTGGGAATCAGAATTGGAACTGTTAATTAACAGTTTCTCATTTTGAGATCAATTTTAGAACCGAACCATAAAAGAACTAAACCAATTCGGTAAAGTTCCAACAGTTTTTTTTGCGCACCCCTAATTTTAATCGAAAACACTACTCATTATATTGCGCAACAATTATGCTAGCACATTCAATTTAATAGATAATATTCATGAAAGAAATTATATCAAAAGATAATAATGTGATAATTTTACTATAAGAATGCAACGCATCTATTTTAGTTTGTATTTGGTGTGAGATTGTACTAGAAAAAAAAAATTATAGTTGAGAATTGATACTATTGCATCAAGACACAATGTCCCAATGAAAATGAAACAGGTTTGATCTTATTTTAATTCGACAAATTCAATGTATGAGGTTCTCGGAGGGGCAAGAATGTGCGGATGAAAATGAAAAAGATTTGATCTTGTTATAAAAGTTGATGTGGGGTTCACATATTAAATGTCTTGCACCAATTATATGAGCTATGACTTATGTATATCAGAAGAAAAGAAATGTATAATTTGTGTCCATGCGGGTGTGGATTGTGAACAAGAGATGGAGAAAAAGAATAGTGAAATGTGGGAAAAAAAACTGCCTATATATATATGTGTTTATATTGTGATGAAAGGGGTATCTTGAAATAAAGTAGTAACACAAAAACTCCCACTTTTAGACTCATCTCTTGTGCTTTTCGGTTCTTGCTCTAAATATATTTTGCTCTATATTTATAAAACATCTTAGTTTATACAACAAATAGATAATTTGCATATATGTTCAAATATTAGGAATTTATTATTATTTTTTTCGTTTTCAGAGCCCAAATGTTACGAGTTAGGGGTTAGATTGTATTTAATACTTAAGTTCTCACCCCTAAAAAAGCATGAACAAATAACAAATGAATGCATTCTTTTTAATTATAAAATCAAAAAATAGTATAGGTAAATATGTCCCTATCATTTTTAATTTGGTAATGATCTACATGAATGAGTAGCCAAGTATTATCCAATTAATTACATCGACATCCCTCTCGACTCTGAAGTAGAGCAGAGTGGTGCCAAATTGGTAATCTGATTTTTTTTTTTTTTTTTTTCTTTCTTCATAGAACCGGTTTAGTATAGGAACAAGATTTAGAACGAACATGGTTTAAAAATTAAAAAAAAAAATGGTTTTTTAGCCTAACAGGTTGTTTGGGTTTGGATTGAACCATTTCCCCTTCAAAATGCTTTCTGGACCGTGGGACACACTCGTGTGAGTGTTCTCCAAGCCCAATCAGCCCAAAAACCACTGATACGAAAAACATGTTCATTCATCAGCCCAAAAAGTCGTTGACATGATCAATTCTTGTTTTATGGGTTATTTGGTTAACAACAGACCTTAAATATCTTATGAAAATATGAAGCTGCTTTTCGAGTGGCAAATACTTCATTCTGATGAAAACTCCATTCCCATGTTAAACAATATAGATGACATTTATATTTCAAATATATATAGATGATATTTATATTTCAAATATATATAGATGATATTTGATACTGTCCCAAAACAAAATTTTAAAACTAAAAAAAAATCAACTAAATTCTTAGATAGTTGATACACACATGTAAATATAATAATATATATACGCACACTAAAGAAAAATTCTACAATATTCTGGAATACCACAATCGGTACTCCGACTTAGGAGTAGGCCTTGTAGGGATAGGCCTTATACGAGCAGAACTAATTAATATGAAAATCTATGATACTCCAACAGCTTTAGTTTTTGTCAATGCGGTCTTACTTTTCCACCAAGTAATTAAGTTGTTTGATAACCATCCATTGTAAAACCAATTGAAAGGAATTAATAAAAATAATTATATATAGTAAAAGAAAAAAACAATATATCACATAGAACTATGGTTACTAATACTTGTAATTTATAAACCTATTTAGGTTAGAAGTTTATTTGTATTTCAACCCTTTAGATCAAGGAACAATGGTTATAACACTTCTGTCAAGTGACAACAGCCTTATGGTATTTGTAAAGAGATGGTGAAACATGTCATGATCATGGTTAGATTGCTAATAGCACGTAATAATATACTTATGGTATAAAATGAAGCACTTGATGTATGCAGTTCGATAGTTCAGTGGGTTAGTACTTTCGGTAAGTTTTTGAGTGCCAGATTTCGACTATTTGTATCTATTAATCTAACTCTTAACACTTCTTGTCTTGAAAAAAAAGAAGAAGTGATATGCATAATAACAAATTAATTAAAAAATAAATAAAAATACAATGGTTAGAGCGTTTGAGTTACGTGACATTAAATTACTGTGAGGGTCGAATGGTTATGAAATATAATATGAAGCATTTGTGTTACATGACGTTAAGTTACTATTAGGGTCGAATGGTTATGAAATATAATATGAAAAAATAATTTAGAAGGAGTGAATAGGTTCAACTTACTATTTTATCCGATTTTTGCCCAATAATCAATTTACTAAATTGAATGTAAATTAAACAATCCACAAAATAAAAATAAAGTACAAATAAAGTAAATAGAAGGGTTTAAAGTGACACCGGGTTTTTAGCGATGAGACCTAATTGGAGAAAATCATCCAACTTCGAAAAAATCTCAGAGACTGTCACACGGTCTCAAGCAAAAAGATCCACTATATAAAGCAAAGTACAATGGTATTCGACTCGGTCTCACACCATTTCACTCTATCAAGAACCAATCTCGAACATCATCTGCTTTGCGACTTTCCTTGTCCAACTGCATTTGACTTTAGGCTTATTATCTTGATTACTGTAGAATGATTGCTGGTAAACCAAAGAGCATTCCACGAACACTTTGATCCCTTCAAAGTGTGATATCTTCCTCATTTTCTTCAAATCTTAATTTTTGAAGTAAAAAGATAATACTGCTTGATCGGTACATATATAGCAAAAGATCTTCGATTCAAATGAACTCCAATTAATAAGATAAACACATCCTAAATCACTTGTGTGTGTAGTATGTGTGTTCTTAAACTGAAAAATAAACAATCTCGCAAAGGCTCTTTTAGGGTTTAAAAACTTGAATATCAAAAGCCATAATATAATGATTTTGAGATTATAAGATATATTTATAGGTGTTTAGAGAGACTTAGAAACCATTCAGAAAAATAATTTCGTGCAAAAACTTCTCTCTAAAACCTAATAAAAAAAAGCAACTAAATTAGGCTTTAAAAGAACTTTCCTTTCTTGGTTCAAGCAAACACAACGGTTCTATTTCAAAATACAACTAGTTGTGTTTTTATTAAGAGTTATTTATCTACATGAGAAAAACACAACCGATTGTGATTAAATATATATGTTTTGAACTTTGGGTTGTTAAATCTTAAGAGTAGAAACGAATACTGTAATATTGTGAGAACTATTATTGCTAGCCAAGTTTTATGTTCAATCCGATCCCCTTGAATATTTATAGTCCAATTTCACATTTTCTACACATAACTCTTAATATTTTAGATTCTAAGTGTTTTATGCATTACATTTATCTTCAAAATTCTAACTTATATTTTTCGTTGACATTCAATATTATTTCAAGATTTTTGTTAGAAATTCTCTATAAAAGTGCACCTTTAACCGTTTGATAAAGAGTATTTCTCGAATTATTTATCAAATTCTTGATTTATTGGAATTTTTCTGCCCTATCTTGAAATTAGGTTTGGGTAATGGACACATATATTGGAATAATATTGTAAAATTAGTAATAAAATTGTGTTTAAGCAATAATGTTACCAAACAAATTTAAAAGTGATTTAAGTATAAAAAGTGTTTTATATAATGTATTACCTAATGTTTAACACGATTTCTGCTTATAGCACTTTTATGACAATTGCAACCCCAATTTTGACACAAAAGCATTTTTACCATTACCCCTAACACGCTTTCTATTCACCGGTACGGTGTTTCCCAATTTGTCATGCGTTTTGTTTCTGCTATTTTTGTTTTTGGGTTGCTACAGTGTTGATTTTAGCAACAAAAGTATATTTGGTGCGACCTTGTTTATTTTACACAGTGTTAAAACACTTCGTGAACAGTGGCCCAAAACTAAAATATCAAAAAGTTATTTTTTCTTATTTCGACAACTCTTCATGGCTCAAAACCATAATAGTAACACAACACAGGCACGACATTTTCATAGCAAAACATCGTTTCTAAACGTCCTTCCTATTTTTTTCCAAAACACTCCTACCGCAAAACACTGTTTCTGTTTTAGTCAAAAACAAAACGCCTAAAACAAAGTGCATGCCAAACGGCCCCCGATTAGTATTCCCTTGATGATCACGGAGTGCACTTCTTGTTCCAAGTTCGACACAAAAATAAAACAAAAATTACAACTTGATCATACTTATTTTAACACCAAAATATGTCATTACAATTTTATACTTCACAATCTCCTCCCTTTCACAATTTCGTTATAAAACACCTAAACAACATCTAATAAACCAAGGAGTATATGATTGTCAAAAAAACTACACTAAAACATCTGTTCACTTTCTTCACCTGAAGCTTTATCACAGAGTAATTAATCTTGAAAAACAACCTGTAACCTGCACATGTATGCAAGCAACACATCGTAAAAGCTTAATAAAAATAACCACTACTCCCCTCCATGATTAAACCTCCCCACTCCCACCTTATCGAAGTAAATTGTTTGATAATCATCCGCTCATGAAACCAAGTGAATGAAAAAAATAACTCCATCAACGAACAATATATATATATATATATATATGTGTGAACAATGGATTGTAATTACAAGTGAACACCTCAACCAATGGCCAACCCTTTACTGTCTCAAGGAGCAGGCCCAATACAGATGCAGGCTAGGCCCCATCAAAAGCTATACAGTCCGGTGTGAGCGTCAACCCTATGAGGATTACCCTATAAGTGGTAAGAACGAGTTATTCCTTTTAGATCTCATTTGACATACATTTTGTTTATGTTATTTTTATTTTTGTATTGTTACAATTTTAATTTTAGTAACAAAAGCATATTTGGTGCGGCCTTACTTTATTTTACACAGTGTTAAAATATTTCGTGAACAAATGACCCAAAACCAAAACACAAAAAAATTATTTTTTCTTATTTTGACAATTATTCATAATCCAAAACCATAATACAAGCGCAACACGAGTCAAAAACAAAACGTCTAAAACATTGTTTCTAAATGTACTTTTGATTTTTTTTCTAAAACATTAGTATAATAAAAATATTATTTTCATTACAGCCAAAAACAATAGGCTTACCAAAAGTGTTAAGGAAACAAGTATTGTTTTTTTAATGATCATTAATTCTGATTTAATGCTAGTAAAGGATGCCCGTTCTGTTAAGATTAGATTGATTTGATTCAAATGTTATAATAGACTTATAGGAGGTGATAAATGCACTAATTATTATTATTTTTGTCTTTTCCTTAGCATAAATAATAAGGGGTGTACTTGTTTTTTATCTAAGAGTTCGAAATACTTGTGTCTTTTCACTTTAAGATGCAGTACATTTAGTTAAAAGCCGAGTGATCCCTAAATCATTAGCCTTTATTATTTCACCAATAGGTAAGTTATAAACTTACCAGAAAGGAAAAAAAATAAATGAATAAAAGAATTAGGTAAGTTATACAGTACTCAATAATGTTTTCACATGAATCTTCTATTGTAATATATTATAATTACTTTAGTAGGTTGGTGGTGTTACTTATTGTACGAGTTACTTGTCACTTGTCAGGTTTAATATATATATAAATAAATTTCGTGTGTCCCTAAATCAAAGTATAATTATAGTATTTAAATTAACAATCTTACATTTTGATTGGAGTAGTTAATATTTTTACTTATTATTTTTTATTTTTATATCTTGACAAAAAATTCACTATACTCATGTGTCTTTATAGGATTTAAATTTTTATTTTTTAATTTAAAAATGAGGAATGGGCATGTTGGTGTAAAATATGCGTGGGGACACGTATATTACATGAACAGTATTCATCAGTGCAAATTTTTAGTTGGTACGATAATTTTTAATTTTGAAAAGAATAATACTTTTAACTGAGCTTGCTCATGACAAGAGTCATGAACTCTCCACGTACTCTCCACGTTTAGTCATTAAATCGATATATTTTTTCGAGATCTTGAAAAGTCAAATAAATCACTCAATCTATTGCTTAAATTTGGAGAGTTTCTCTCATTATCACAAGGAGCTCTCTTAATTAATGATGCGATGAAAAATTGAAAGTATTTTTATAAACAAGAAGAGAATATTAAAAATGCCATAAAAGTTCAAACCAACCCTCCTTCCTACTATTTAAGCAACGTTATAAACACGGAATAACCTTAGTTTCGTGGTTATCAATCAACGCTATTAACCAGACTAATATATTAAGCTGGATAAGAAGTAATTAACTTATTCACTTCAATTGATGTATTAATATTTGAGTTGCAGATAACGTGTGTTTATAAATGGACATCTTTTAATATTATTTACTTAAAAATAAAGACTTTAAATGCAGAGAAAAGATAACGTTTAAAAAAAGAGAATAATATAATAAAATAGTTGAATTTTACACGAAAAGAAAATGTTTTATATATAATTTTATTCCAAAATAATGGTGACATGGTTTTCCTCCAACTCCAACTCTAGCACTTTGGTGTTCGTTGGATTCTTTTCCAACTCAAGTTCTTGACTTAAAATATTACTTGTACTGTGGAGTCCGGATGAATAGTTAGGAATTTATCTGATAGTTATAAGTCCTAAGGTTAGGTAGTTGTCAGGATTCTCACGTTATACAAAAAAATAAAATAAAATGTTTTATATATAATTTTATTCCGAAATAATGGTTGCAGGAAAATAGCAATATACAGGCATTATTAGGTTTACCGGGTAACTTAACTGAAATTCCCGATTCTAACGGAGACGAGTAACCGCCCAATGTTGTATCTCTCCGAGCATATCTAATTTGGATTCTTGACAAATCTTTAAGATTCTGTCAAACGTTGATGATAACAGATTATTCCTCTTTCTCTGCCGGTTGAACCGGTCACCCCCTCACTCATCATCAGTAAATTACCCTTTTTACCATAAATTACTAACAAAAATTACCATGTGTATAAGTTATTATATTTTCTTATCCTTGGTGGATCTATTATTAGGGTTTTGGATAATATGAATGAGACCATGTTGGGCCCACGTGACTTGTATGTGGAGGAGGGTAGCAGATAGGAATTTCATGTCATGTGCACATGGCATGAGTGTACTGTACACATATATTGATGATAAAAATGACGTGGCGTACATGCAAAGTGGTATATAGATACATACAGGCTATATATATAAATATATCACAGATCGAACCTGCATTTTCAAGTGGGTTAAACGACAACCGCCTGATCTGACAATAGGGTGGGCCAAGATTGGTTGCATGTGTGCCATCTATGGTGCACCACAGTCCAAACATCCAAACCTCCTTACTGTTTTTTTTGTACACAAACAAATTTGTTCTTAACCGCTTGAACTTGATCATTAAGTAGGTCCCACAGTAACCTTTGTTCAGTTATTTTTTTTTGGAACTAAAAATTTGTAAATTGTAACCTAATGAGAACTTTGTTATAAAAATTTGTTTGATTGAATTTTTTTGAAAATTCAGTTAAAAAATATATATTGAATTGTTTTATTGTTAATTTTTTTTTCAAATTTTTGAAAATTTTAAATCAAAACATTTCGTATATGTGAGACGAAGGGACTATATTTATTTAACAATGAATTATAAGATAGTCTAAGAAACGAGACACCTTATAAGTTAAAAAAAAAAAAAATTAAAAATTATCTTTTGAATAATGAGCAGCAATTATATATTCAGATCAAATTGGTTTAAAGATTTATTTCATTTGTTGAATGAGAATGGAATACTGTGAATTTTTAATGTTACAACTTTATGCTATCTTAGAGCCCCCATACAAAGCATAGCCACATAGGTATTTCCGAATTGATTAATTTTTTAAAAATTGAGGGACCATAACTTTGTGGACCATATAATTTTTAATAAGGGCATAAATGTCAATTGCGGTTGTGGGCTGTTTCCATTCAATTCGAAAATTCAGGCGAATTTCCAATAAATTCCCGCAATTTTCTCTAACGACAAATACAACCTGTAATTAAATTATTTATTTATCAAACAAGAACAACATTTCAAAATTTAAAATTGTAAGATAGTGTCAACTGAGTAGTGATGTTAATCATTTTTAATTAATTAATATTTTTTCAAGAATAATATAAATATAGAATTGATTTTTTTTAATTAATTTTCTCAGAGAGTGTGGGTTTGTTGTGTGTTGTGTCCGTGTATATATTTATGTGTTTCTATTTGAACTAAAGACAAGGCGCCCTTTAAAGCTATCCTTTCTGTCATTTTGCTTTTCTTCAGAGGGTGTTGTTTTGTTAAAGAATAGCAGAAGATAAAAATAAACACATACAGGAGGAGAGAAGTAGAGAGAGGAAACCCAGAGAGAGATTGAGTTATCAATGGAGGATTTTGACATCTCTTGGTTGGTCTGACCTTGTTTTTGTGTACAGGCCAGTCAAAAGTTGGTGGGTATCTAACATCTTTGCTTAAAATGGTTCTCTTTAATTTTTAAATTTTATTATTATTATTTTTTAATCCTCAATTGTTGTGAATAATCTTGAATTTGGACATGGGTTTGTTTCTGAACACGGTTGATGGCAAAGCCTGTTCAAGATGTGTTTCTTTGGCAGTTTGACTTCACTTTAATTTGTTTAAAATTGTCGGGGAAAGGCTTGTTTACTGTTTTTCTTTTTTTCTTTTTTAAATTGTCAGTTCTTCTTGAACTCTGGTTTGGGAATTAGAGTGATTTAAATGTTTTTTCATGTTGGGTTTCCTCTGAAATGATAAAAAAATACTTTGTTTTGATGATAATTGCACAAAAAATCTGATCTTGGACAGTAATTGATGTTCAAGATGTGTTTTTTTTAGATGTTGGGTTCTTATAACATGTTGAAATCTAAAATCTAGTGTTTATGTTTGCTTTGTTTCTCTTTTTCTGGGTGGAATTTAACAGTACAGTTATTATTATTATTATTTGTGTTAACAAATGGCAGTTACAGATTTTTCTTAGGTTTCATGTTCTGTGTTTTGTTTTCCCTTCAATTTTAGTCATCAACACCAGTTTTTGGTTCTTTTTCCATTGTGGTGAAGATGGGTCTTCTTTCTCAGTTCCTTTTCACTAATAGAAATTAATTCTTCTGTAATTTTTGTTTCAACTTTCGTCAAACATGTTATGGGCATGTTTATTTTTATGGGTGCTATTCATGCTTTTTTTTTTTTTTTTTTTTTTTTTAAACCATAATATTTTCTTGTTTTTCAAACATAGAATATAAGCTTTTTCCCCCCCTCTCTCCCCATTTTTATTTCTGTTCGGGGACTTTTGTTGTTCAGTTTTAATATCAATGTTGTTTGGTGAAAAAGGAAAAAGAGGAAAAAAATCTACAAGACAAATGTTTATGGCCTTCTAGTTGTTTGATAAAAGTTGCAGAACAAAAATGGTGTTTATTTTACATTTTATATTTTTCCCTTATATGGTCTAATTGATTTGGTTCTCTTTTGTTAAGTTTTACTGGCAGAAATTAGAACTACAATGTGTGTCTTTAATATATCCATCCATATGCATTTCTTGATTGTTTGTTGATTTCTTTGTTTGCTAGATCTGCGAATAAATTTATTGAGCTCATCAATTTTTCTTCCTCGTGACTCATTTTTGGGAGTGTCTGTTTACTGGATTTTGTTATGTCATTGTGTAATTGTTGTCTTTTTATTTTTTATTTTTTTTATAAGTAATTGTGTAATTGTTATCTTTAGTTAATCTTTGCTCGAAACACACAGAATTTAAGCTTGTTTTTGTTTCATCTGTGAGGTAGAAGTTCGAGATGGACTTTGTTGAGTCTACAAAAGTTGTATATAGTAGAATCCAGAAGCTAGAGCCAGAAAATGCCTCTAAGATCGTTGGGTATCTCCTGTTGCAAAACCATGGCGAGCGCGATATGATCCGGCTAGCATTCAGCCCGGACAATGTGATTCACTCTTTGATTAACAAAGCTAAGACATACCTCAGATTATCTTCAGAACCAACAGTTTCTGCTCCAATTTCACCTCCTCGGGCTAACCCGGTACCCACTCCTGATATCTCTTTACAATTCACACCATTTTCGCCTGCTTCACCTCGCCCTTTTTCATCTCCGGCCACACTTCAAGCTGCCAATCCCTACTGGGATCCCCAAATCCCTATTGATCATCAACCACTTCAGAATTTGGAATTTGGCCTACCGGCTTATTCGGATTCACTTGCTGATGACTATTGTCTCCAAAACCAACTTCGGGTTTTGTCCTTGGGAGAACAGTTTGACTCTTTTAATTCAGTTGGTTCAGATTTCTCTAGCAATTTTCATTATCCGGATCCTGCATCGGGTCCAAGAAATAGTCGGAGGTCTCCAAGCTTGCCGGAATTCCCTGTCAAGGTTTGCCATTACTTCAGTAAAGGGTTCTGTAAGCATGGAAGTAACTGTAGGTATTTCCATGGCGATCTCATGCCAGAAAGCTTCTCTCAAATGTTCAACCCAAGCTCAAATGAGTTTTTGAATGATGATCATGTTGTCTCTCCTGGGTCCCTCGCAAAGCTAGAAATGGAGCTTACCGAGCTTTTGAAATCAAGGAAAGGATTTCCTGTTTCCATTGCTTCTTTGCCAATGATGTACTATGAGAAGTATGGGAGGACCCTTCAGGCTGAGGGATACCTTACCGAGAGCCAGAGACATGGCAAGGCCGGTTATAGTCTGACAAAACTTCTTGCTCGAATGAAGAACAGCATTCGTCTCATTGACAGGTGCAATTCATTAACCCTCATGGTTTTTGTCAACTATAAGTTTATAATTTTCTTGTTTTTTATTGTGGATTTGTTACCATTGCATAGCAGGCCTCATGGGCAGCATTCAGTAATTTTGGCAGAAGATGTTACGAATTACATGGAACGCATTGGTGAAAAAAATGACCATGGAGGAATTGTTGCTGGTTCTCGGCAGATTTATCTTACATTTCCAGCCGAGAGTACTTTTACAGAGCAAGATGTTTCCAATTATTTCAAGTAAGGAAGTCAGATGCGCTTATTGGTATTTTGCTTGTCCTTCTGAATTTGATTTCTAGACATTAAATTTTCTGTTTCCTTTTGGTATCTCTTTTTGTAGCAAATTTGGGCCGGTTCACGATGTTAGAATTCCTTGCCAGCAGAAGAGGATGTTTGGCTTTGTGACTTTTGTTTTTGCAGAGACGGTCAAGCAAATCCTGGCAAAGGGGAATCCTCATTTCGTATGTGGGGCTCGTGTCCTGGTGAAACCTTACAGGGAGAAGTCAAGGCTTGGTGACAGGTACAATTTTGGTCTTGAAATATGGAAATATGTAATTTTGTTTTCTTTTTGTTATCAGTCAAAACCATTATATTCCATTTTTTTTTTTTTTTTTCAAAAGTTTTTTTTTTTTTTTTTTTCCCTTCGGTAAGACCATTTTTGGTTATAAGTTTGAAACACACAATCTTTGATATTGTCAACAAATTATGTCTAGAATAAAGGTTATGCTCCAACAATTTGGCCTACTAAGCCTTCACTCTTCTCATATATAAGGTCATGTCATTTTGGCCTTTGTTGTTTCTCTCACTTATTACATGCATCTTCTCATAGTTTTCTTATATGTAAATCTATAATTTAATGTCTCCTAGTTTTCTTAGTCAGCCACGTAACTTCTTTTGGTGCCTTTTTTTTAAAAAAAAGCAGAACTGACAGGTTTATTGTCACAATATTGATATGCTTCTATTCTCTAGCATCTATAATTCTAGCAGTTTGCTTTCTGAATCATTGTTTGTGACAACTTTACTTCAAGGCTCGATTTTATTCTCACTTTTTACAACTTGTATAAATTATGATTTTGGACATCGTTAAATCCTGTTCACAGTTCTTTCTGTATTTGAGGAAAATTATTAACGTTTCAGCTTTTTTTGTTTTCTTTTCTGAAATGGATATTTTTTACCATGACTTGAAGTTTTACTGTCTTTTGTAATATACATTTCTGTGCAGGAAGTATGGAGAGAAAATTCAGCACCCTATGTACTATGGTTCACAATTTTTAGGTGAAGAATCCGAGCTTCACTTAAGTAAGAAAATCCTCGATTGAACTACTGATTCTTATTGTTTTCTCTAATGTGAGGTTTTTTTTTTTTTTTAACATGTCTGATAACATTTCATTATCTTCTTTTAATGTAGTGCCCAGAGTTCGTGATGATTCAAGGACAGTCAGGAAGCAGCTCTTTGAAGAGCATGAGCATGCGCTTGAACTTGAGAGAAGGCGTCTTTCAGAGTTGCAATTAGCGTCCAAGACGATGAACCATCACCCATATTTTGGCTACTCAATGGATGATGTGAACTTTTCAGAAGGTTTGCATCTTTATACTCAATGAACATGCTTAATTAAAATCTTATTACAGCCGCTTGATATACTAACTCCATTCCCATGTTTCTCCTGACCGGTTTTCTTCTCTGACACCATAGCACGTGCAGAACAAGCAGAGTTCCGCTCTGCGGATCGTTTCAGTTATCTACTGGATGTGCTGAATAATGGTTCTAGTGATGATAAAATTAGGCATATAAGCACCAATTACAATGACCAGGACAGGTATGATACATTACACTTTCGGAGTTATATAGATATAGTTTCATAAATATAGTCTAAATCTTGCTTGCTAATTAGTTTGTTTAATAACTTTAATTGATTCGATCAGAATGTCCAGAATATTTCTTTTGTTGAATGAGTTTACTGCTTCGGTAATGTACTATTTTCTTTTCTTTCTTATGGGGTTTGATTTTCTAAACATGGCAGCAGTCATGGACTTGATCTTCCAGATAGTCCATTTGCATCTCCAATAAGGAGTGGCATTTCAACAGTTATATAAATAGATTCAGAAACAAAGAAGAATTACAGAGGTAGAGAACTGAAATTGAAGACCACTTTGTGGGTTCAATACGATACGGACATGCTCCTTTCATCTTCTTCCTTTTTTTCACATTTCCGCCCGACTAGTCTCTCGATCAGTCAGCAGATGGTTTTGTGTTCTTACCTAATCAAAGCAGAAACAGCAGATGGGTTTTTATTCTCCCTGAAACTTTGAAGTGGAGGAGATAACAAAGAAGAACGATACAAAAATCTAGTATGTAACAAGTTTCTTAACTTTTCTTTTTCGGATGTTAAATCACAGGAAGCAAGCTAAAAGGGGCTTGTGGGTGTTTAGAAGAGAATGTAATTATATAGTCTGCTTTAGTTGAAGAAGAAAGGAACTAGAAAAAATATGCAGGAGTTAGAGAGTAAAGAAAGTGTAGAAATCTCTGCACACAAAGAAACAGATGCTAAATAATAGTTCAAATTATACAAAGTTGCAGCTTCAATCCGTTTATACGTTGGATCGCTTGGCTATTTTGATTATATTTCCTTTATTGATTGATTTAATGTTGAACCACTCCATGATCAAACATTATGTTTCTTGTTAGAGCTTGTTGCAGTAATGGCTTCCCTTCCATTCATTACCTCGATACCTGCAAAATATAGTTGCAGTCAATTTTCATTACTTCAATTAGAATTTGTTTCCTAGTTGGTACCATGTGTGCTCTGAGAAGTATTTTTTTATTTTATGGTTGTAGTGATTGGCTGTCTAATCTCTGAATGAGGTCGGATTCAGTTAAGTTCTACTGCAGGTCTACCAAATCTCTTATTATTGAAGTTGAGGTCGGATTCAGGTAAGTTATACTGCAGGTCTACCAAATCTCATCTAGTCGAAGTTGAGGCTATCCAAATTATGACTTCGATGCCAAGAGCTATAGTTTAGTGGTACTTTGGTTCTACTATCGGTCTACCAAATCTTATGCAATAAAAGTTGGTACTAATCAAATTATGGTACCAAATCTTATTCAGTTGAAGTTGGTTTTAATCAAATTATGACTTCGACAACAAGAGCTATAGTCTAAGTGGTACTTTGATTCTACTGTAGGTCTATCAAATCTTATCCAATTAAAGTCCGTTGACATGAAGAGTTATGGTAACAAATTTTGACATGAAAAGTTATGGTAACAAATCTTGTCCAATCGAAGTCAGTACTAATTAAATTATGATTTCAAACTCAATAAGCACTTATGCTTAATTCTTATTAAGTGTCTTTGATAACGCAATTTGAATAAAATAGTAAACAAATTTGGAATGAATTTTTTTTTTAAGTAACATGAACATCATTCCTGATTACGTGCTGAAAATTTTAAAAAACACTACTTAAAAACCAAGCAGCACCTTTTAGGTTAATAGTATTTCCTCACCCACAGTACAGGTATTCCTCACCCACAGTACAAGGTCGAGTGACTCTGTCAATGTTGACTAGTTAGTGAATTTAAAAAGTTTGGTTAGGTCAGCAAGATCCAGAATCTCAGATGCATTACTACTTGCATAAATTTAAATAAATAAAGAAAAAAAAAAATGAAGTAAAAGGAAAATCATATCTGTAGTGTTTACCTCTTATGATGGGTCCCTTTCATATGAGAAGCCCTTCAATTGCGGAATCAGTGTGCATCATTTGCAAGTGGGTTGTATTGCTCTTGCATCATTGTATTATTAATTTATTTTTTTTATTTTTTTCTCCCCCCAATTGTTCTTTGAATCTTTTTTTTTTTTTTTTTCTATAAATTAAATAAAACACCAGATACTCTGGTGCAATTGAATAATGTAGCTTATTGCTGCAGGCCAATGGGGACATTGACTTTTTGATGAGTGAGGTCAGAATTTGCATGTTCCTAAAGTAATGTTTTTGATGTAGGTGTTTGATGAATGTGATAAGAGGTGTGGACCTGATATAATCTTACTCAAGATTTATGGACCCCACAGTGGCTACCACTGTGCCATTAGGTGATGAAACAGTGATGTGATGTGTCCATCAACTTTCCACGAAACAGCTAAGCCATGTTGTGTAGCTCTTGCTCATGGCCATAGGACCCCAATTAATGGATATCCCATGTATGGTAGCTGCATGCAGCAATCTGGAATGGGATTTTAGTGGCATTGATGTCTCTTTATTTTTTTTATTTTTTTATTTTTTTTTTGTCATTGATGTCTCTGTATGCTTATATTAAACATGTGTGTATTTATATACATATATTTACATATAGAGAAGAAGGAATATCTAGGTTACTGTCACAATCATATGACTTTTCCGAATTGTTGTTCTAAGTTGTTTTTCAAATTTATCACATGAGCTTAGCATCTAAGAGCATCACATGACTGTATAGTGAGAAAATTATTATGGTGTGGGGCTCGTCACATGACTGTCCTTACAAAAAAAAAACTTTTCTAAGTAGTTCATTACAAAGAACGAGTCATGTAGTGAACCTCTCTTTTTAAAATAAATTAAAATATATTATATAACTAGCCAACTTAGTCAACACCATACCAACTGGTTGAGCTGAACACAAATATAATTTGACATAACTCTCTACATTTACAAATGTGGGAAGTCACATATTTAGCATCATACCCTATACTCAATGTCCACTCTCCATTTCTTCTTATTCTTTGCTTCCATATATATCATGCACAAGAGATAGTGCATTAAAAAAAACAAGGAAAAATTGTTAACCTTCATATTCAGTGGTGGTCGTACCTTTCCACTGATTAGAAGCCCAAGAGATAGTGTCATACCAAGCTTTGTTCTGCCAAGAGATGTCACAAATTCTATAAAAGTACTAACCACATTCTTTTTGAGTAAAAATTGCAGGCTAAAAACACATGGCCATCATAATCCCACACAAAGCCTGCAATAGGAACTTTCGACTTTTAATCATTTACAAAGTCCTAAAGTACAATGTTATTGTGTGCTTTACTCAATGTATTATGTTTACATATGATGTTGAGAGGGAAAGACTCTATTTAAGTTCTATTATTGTTTTTGTTATTTAAACTTATTTTTCAAGCAGACGGAAGGTTTTTTTTTATCCCTTTGATAACGTGTATGAGATTCACTTCATTAAAGGAATAAAAATCTATTCGACTACCCAACATGGATTTCTGATATTCAATTATTATCTTTAATTATTATTATTATTGTACACAAAATGAGGATATTGATATGTGTCATTTATTTTTTCTTGCCATTATAAATAGTCGAACTAAATTCAGAAAAATAATTATTCAATCTAAAAACGTACTTTGTTGTTGTTTTGTTTGTGGACAAATGAAATTCACAAAATTTGAAGGTAAGCTCATGGAGGAGAGGGAGACATAAGATAGCGTGGGATGAAATTATTTAAAATGACTAGGTAATGTTATGGTGAGTAATATAAAGGAGTGGAACTAAATGATTTCAGAAAATGATGATGACAATGATAATGTTGGATCCTCTTGGATCTATGGGCCGGGTTGCATAGAAAATCTAAACTAGACCATATTCTGGCCCTGACTTGTATTCTGCCGGCCCAAGCTGAGTGTGTTTCTTTCGGGTCCGGGCCCAAGTACTCGGGCTGGCTTAGGGTGCTAGGCCAACCTAGCCCATCACCACACCAATCTAAACCAGTTTTGTATCTTTTGGAGACTTTAATTGATGTATGATTGGGAAGAATAATAGTATGATATTAGTACAGTCGTTTGGTGTGGAAAAAAATAATAAGTTTCCATTCTTCTCTAAATGACACCAAGTCCATGGTCAATTTCTAACTTCCTTATCACTGCAATTTCCTAGTAATTTCGTTGATGTTTGTGCTGATATTTCTACTGAAGGCGAGGAAAATTTTGATGGCCTCTGTTGTATCATGCAATGGTATATTTAGACCGTCTGTATAATACACGCATTTATATGTGCATACGCGTGTATTATATGCATAGTAATAAAGGTTTAGATGCGTTCGTTGTACGGTACAGCAGGCACAATCAAAATTTTCTCCTAAAGGTGGGTGACTCAAAATAGTTTCCCTCCTCCGTCTTAAATAAATTATTAAAGGAGATAGTAAAAGCCCTCCATTGATGCTGACACTAGAACTTCAAGCTGCTTTAATACCTAAAAAAAACAATGTACCAAGTTCTCACCATTGTAAGTACGAGTGTAACCTTTAAAAATTATTTACATAAACAAATTTTTTTGTATGATTTGAAATCTCATTTTAACGGTCATCTTTTACTGTCATACTTTTATCCATGTGTCAAGGAAATGTCTCCACGTACGCTAACAATTTTGTATCTCATGTCATTATTTCTTTCTAGGATTTGGTCCCATTCCAAGTTTCAAGCTTCTTTCTAAGAAACAACCACTGTAATACCCCTAACTTTAAAGGATAGTCTCGATATTTATTTATTTGTTTTAATTATATTTTTAATTATTTAATTGATTATTTGACTAATTGTTTATGTGTTTAATTGAATTAGGTATTACTTGATTATTTAATTATGTGTCTATGTATTATTTGTATTTGTCTATGTGCTAATTGTTTAATTAGATTACGTACTTAAATGGTATTTTGATTAATTGTAAATTAAATATTTTCGTTTCTTTTATTATTTTATTTTATTTTTTTTTTTTATGGTTATGGTTAGTGGTAATTGGCCAACCAATTGGGTCTCATGGACTACTTGAATAGGAGGTTGGATGTGTATGGATTATTACCCGTGAATAGTTGTGTATGTATATATATAGATATATATTATATACATATATAAAAAGGAAAGTAATTTATTAATTACTTTTATAGTAACTTGGGTAGTAATATTTAATCTGATGTATATGTTTTATATTTAAATAATAAAAATATACATAGATTTGATACGTGTTATGTTTCAAGTTACTTTATAATATTATGGTAACTTAAATATTATTGGATAATTCATTAATAAATAATGGGATGTGTATAATTTATTTATTTAATAAAGATATACATAAATTATATACGTAACATATTTTACTTACCTTTTTAATATTTTATTTATTTTTTATTTTGTTTTAAGTTGACTTGGATTGGAAAAAGGATTAGGGTTATTTTATTTAACCTATAAATATATAGCTACAGGTTGTAAAAGGGGTTAGAAATATTCACGTGATATATTCTAGAGAGAGAGAGTTAGAGAAAGAAGGAAGGAGGAGAAAAATTCTGTAAAGAGAAGATCAAGGAAGAAGAAGTTTAACTTTCGATCCGAAAGTTTAAGGCAAGTTCTTCTTCTATCTCTTTCCCTTTGATTCGTGTTTATATACATGCCTAGGAAATTTCAGGATTTATTAAACACATAAAATTAAATAATTATGTATGTTTAATTGGATTAGAACATAGGTTTTATGAATTTGGTTCATATCTGTTCTTATGTTATGAATTGATAAATGCATGATTTTGATTTGATTTCCGGTGTGAATTTTTACATGTTTAAATTATGTATTTTTCATATCTGTGGAATGATGGAACGTAGAAACATGCCTAGGATTCCTGAACATT